CACTGGGTGTTGTATGGAAACCAATTTGACAATAAATTTCATATATTTAAAAAAAAATGATAGCCAAAAAAAAAAAAAGAAGGTTTTATTTCAGCATTATTTGTGGTTTTGTTTTACTTGTTGATTTTTATGGGTTTTTTTGGGGGGGGGCGGGGGAGTAGAGAGGGGAGAAGTTTCAGAATCAAATGACTGCCATTTTCTTAGTCCTGAAGTTACCTGAAAGTATATTTTCAAATTACAAAAGATTTTATTTACTTTAAGCAAATACTTGCATTTTATATCAAGTAGCATTTGAAGCTTTTAGTTTTCTTGAGAACAAACATTACATTTGAAAATTATAAAACAGAAGATATTTAAATTTATTGCAACATATTTTGGATAAAAGAGAAAAGTGAATGATATATAAACCTCTATGATGTCATCTTGCCATGGAGTTATCTATAAGTAATAATACTAAGTAGATATAAAATATGAAGTGTATAAAGTGGTATAATGTACATATAATCAAGTGATAAGTAGTCCAAGTCTTTCATATCACTCCATTGACAATACTCCCAAAACAAAAGAATCAATAAATACAATAAAACAGAACAGAAATGAGCCTTTTGATTAAGTGAATTTAGATATATCCATTTGTGATGGGCTAATTTGAATGTAAATCTGAATGGAAGCTGCCCTCCTTCAAACTGTGTCTGAGACCTAGATGATTTTGCTTTCACAGTGGGACCCCCTGTAGAGCTAATAGCTAGATAGTTGCAGAGACTCACCTTAGGCATTTCACTAACCTTACAATAATGCAAAGTCTCACTTTACTGATTATCATCTTTTTTAACCTAACTTATAATGTTATGGTGGATTTTACTACTTCAGAGTGCCTGCTCTACTACATACGAGGCAGTACAGGTATATAGGGGTTTAAGGCATAGTCACTTTTCACTGGTACCTTAGAATTTTGATGTAGAATTTTAAAGGAAGTTTGCTAATGTAAAGGTATATATATTTTAAAATCAACTTTTTGAATAATTACATGTACAAAATTAAAATATGGACAAATGTACAAAATTCAAAAGGTACTGAAGGATGTACAAGGGAAAATCTGCCTTCTATCCCTGTCTTCCAAGCATCTCCCTTGTTCAGAGTAAACACTTAACTGCTGTAGATCAGTATATATGTATACAGTTTTAAAAACACAAACAGGAGTTTACTACTCTTTGCTTTACACTTCATTTTATAAAGCTGAGTCCATGTAAGTATCATTACATTTAGAGCCACGTCATTCTTTTTGACAGCTACTTGAATGTATACCGATGTATTTAACCAGACCCTCATTGATTGGCATTTAAATGGTTTCTGGCTTTTTTTCCTGGGTTATATTTAGGTTATGTTTAGATTATATTCTATAATTCAAAGAAATATTTTCAAATGGCTTCACTTGTCAGATGTTAAGGAAATATTTCACAAAAACCTGGGAACTTGGAGTTTAGTTTTAAATAGATGTTTTCCTGTCTACAGTCAAGGCTTATATTGACCTTTTCCTTAATGAATTTCAATCTGGTGACTGTTGAGTTTCAGCAAGTATTTATTAAATTTTTCTGTAATCTGTGGTCAGATTAAATAGAGGAGATGATTCCTGTGTTTAGGAGTACATGCCTGTCAAATTTCAATTTATTTGTAGAAAGAACTTTTAGCATCAGATGTTAGTTCCAAGGCTATAGAAGCTTCTAAAAATGTTGAAAAGAGTTGAAAGAATTACAAATAAGTTTAGTGATGGTGTCACTGTAGTAGTAGGAAGATTAGCAACATTAAAAATTAAAGTAGTACTACTTGTATTGGTAAGAAAGAACAGGTGTGATAGAAAATTCTGTGCTGGTGGATGAGGAGACAGCATAGTATTAATAGTTTACCTGTCAGCCTTTTGCCTCTTTGGCAAAGGTTTAGAAGTTCTCTTAGACTCTTTCTATAGTCTAAGATATCTATTTCTTAAAATTTTTCTATTTGTAAAATGCATGATGGTTAGTTCCTTATTTAAGGAAATAACTCTGAAGTTTCATTTGTAATTCATTTGGAGAATTAAGTTATAATGGTTATTTTAAAATAGCTTTATTGAAATATAGTTCACAAACCATAAAATTCACCCATTTTAAAGTGTATCCCTTAGCAGGGATAGTTCCTGAGATTAGTGTTTGAGAGTCTTTTCTGAGCATGGTTGGGGTCCTTCCCACTGTTTCTATACAGGCAAATTAACTGGCCTACAGTATTGCCTTTATTTTCAATAAATTAACCTATGTCCTCCCAGTTGCCTTTTACCAAATCCTCCACTGTTTTGAGAGTGTTTTAGCCTTGAACTTCTTCATGCTGTGTTGCAAACAAAGTAATTTTCTTTGGAAAGAGATTAGAAGCTATTTTTTGGTTTGTGTTCCCTTACCCCCTCCCTCCTCCACCCCTGTAAAATCTCTGAGCCTTGATCCTGGAGGCGAAGGGAGGAGAGAGGAGCAGCAGAGCAATGGCATGCTTTTCTCTGAGGACATCGCTGCTTTAGTAGCTCAGTGCTAGGGAGAAGAGAGAAGGAAAACACATCTTCTTGGTTTGCTTCTCCTGGCAAGATACCAACTCTTTGCAAGCCAGGCCAAGGGTGATTGGGATCCCAGTATTAGTATAACACTCCAAGTAGAGCCTCTGCCCCACCAGCTAAGGTTGGGTACTAGAAGTGAGCCAATCTCTTCCCCACTTCTCCCACATCTTGGTGGTATGTGCCTGGAATGTAACTTTAGGAAAAGGTAGATGAGGGCAGTGTTGTTATATGGAAAAGGATCACAGGTTTTTCTGAAATGAAAAAAGTCTTCACGTATATATTTCAGAGAAAAGAGAACACACATCCACACAAAAATATGTGTGTAGATTTGTATATATATTCACAGTAGCATTATTTATAGCAGCCAAAATGTGGAAACCTATGGAACTTTCAGCTCTGCGAGGGGAGAGGGACTGAACATTGAATTAGTGGTTCAATCAGTCATGCCTCTGTGATGAAGCTTTCATAAAAATTACTAAAATGCAGGTTTTGGAGAGCTTCCATGTTGGTTAACACATGGAAGTGCTGGGAGGGTGGTGCATCTGGAAAGGGCATGGAAACTCAGCCCCTTTCACCATACTTTGCCCTCTGCATCTCTCTTTTTTTTTTTCATCTTAACTCTTCCTGAGTAGTATCATTTTATATTACATTGACAAGCTAGTAAAAAAAAAATGTGGAAACCCAAATGCCCATCAACTAACGAATGGGTAAACAAAATGAGTTCTGTGTACATTGGAGTAATAGTTCATAATTTTAAAAAAATGAAGTACTAATACATGTTATAACAGGGATAAACCTTGAAAACATTATCTAAGTGAAGCCAGTCACAAAAAAACACATATTGTAAAATTCCATTTATATGAAATATTCAGAATAGACAAATTTGTAGAAGTTAGTGGTTGTCTAGGGCTGAGTATGTATGTGGGGATGGGGGGGTGATGGAGAATGACTGTTTCATGGATATGGGGTTTCTTTTTTGGGGTGAGGAAGATGTTCTAAACTTAGATTTAATGATAGTTGCATATATCTATGCACATACTGAAAAACATTGAGTTTTACACTTTAAATGGGTGAATTTTATGGTCTATGAATTATATCTCAATAAAGATGCTAAAATAAAAGATAAAGTCTAGTCACTTGTTATCTTTTAAAATTTGCAAGATATATCTACTTTTTATTCAAATACTAATCAGGCCAAACTTGCAGAGTTTCTGTAATTTTACAAGTCATAATGGGGTCATATTTGCTATCTCCATAGGCAGTCATTTGTATATGTGAGGAACATATTGTGATCTAATGTAATTTACTTTTTACATAGTAAAAAGTTTCATAGTTTTCTATCTTGTATTCTATACTGACATTTTGAGTATATTATAAATTTATTGAACGCTTTTTTTGTGATACTATTTATTTATTTATTTATTTATTTATTTATTTATTTATTTCTAGTGTTGTCATTAAGTTCTCCAATTCAAAGCTTTCCGTCTTTATTCTTTTTTTTGTGATTCTCAGAAAATTTACTGCTAGTGTTAATAATTTCTAACATTTGTACGTCAGAAATCACTGATTTGAAAAGTGTGACATTGTGAATATAATAATTTTTAACCATGTCTCTTCAAATATTTTAGTATAGTTATTTAAATCATGTAGAATATAGTTTATATTTAACTTGCTATTTTCCTCTTTGATTTTTCTCTCCTCTGTGTAATAAAGAAAAGAGCATTTGTTTCACTAGTGGTTCTCTTGTGCTAGATATTTATAGTAACTATTTTGTCTCTGAAATATCTGTTTTTTTTTTCTTTTTGTTTTGTTTTTTGTTTTCTGTTTTACAAGGGCATCCCAGTGTTGCCTTTGTCATTGTATGAATTCTTAGGAAAAAAGGCGAGATAATAATAGTCCCTCTAATTTCTTCTATCATTTTAAATTCTCATAGAGGTTTCTTTTTGCCCCAGTAAATTGTTCTCACAGTAAAAGTAGGCACAAATATCAAAATATACTTTTGTCTGAATGTATATGAGATATAAAAACCTGTTGTTTTAAAATTTGTTTTCTTTTAGTAGGTTGTAATGCTTTTCAAATGATTTAAAAGTAACCTTGGAGAAGGGTTACCTTAAAAATGTCTTAAAGTATTTATACATAACATAAGAAGAATGTATTCCAAAAACTTTTTTCAGAAATTATAAAATGTTTGTTTTTCTAAAAAGACTTGAGTAGCCATTATTCCCCACATAGAATAGATTAAATAGATTTAAATATGAATAGAATAAATTAATAGAATAAATAGATAAAATAGATTTAAATATGACTTAGAAAATTGGCATGTGATATATTGGATTATTCCCCCTTCTTTTTCAGGAACTCTTGGTGTGATAACAGAAGCTACAATAAAAATCAGACCAATCCCTGAATACCAAAAGTATGGCTCAGTAGCTTTCCCTAATTTTGAACAAGGAGTAGCCTGTTTAAGAGAAATTGCAAAACAGGTAAAAACAAACAAACAAAAAAGAACAAAAACCCACCCATATATATTTATAGTTTAAAAATTCTGCGTAACTGATTTTGTATGTCACATATAATCTTCATATTTAGTCGTGTTATATATGTGGTTTTTCCCCAGTTCTGTATGAAAAGGTAATGTAAAATCATCCCTGTAAGTGCAGTTGCTATTTCTTTATTTCTTGGTTTAAAGAGTGCTGTGTGATTTTAAGCCAAGGTAAGGTATATACTTGGGTTGATGGCTTTGAATGACTCTGCCTTTAATGAATGTTATGTTTTCTTAAATTATTTTTAGGTAAGATATTTTGTGATTAATTTGAAGTAATATATAATTTTTCTTAAACTAAGACATTTATTGAAATTAAAATAAATGGCTGATTGTCAGTGATCAAAAATATAGAAATTAAATATAGGTAATCAAACTTTATCAATACTTAGAATATGCTACTACTAGACCCTACTTTGTTTTATAATAGTACCTAGGCTATAGCTTAAGTTAAATAACATAATATAACATAATATATTTAGCTATAAGTTAAGAAGAATTCCCATTTTCTGTTCCCTTATTTAAAAAAAAAAGATATAATATTAAGGATTTTTAAAAGACTAGGTCGTATCAAGTAATTTTATTTCTGTATTCTGTGTATCAGTGTAGAAATTCTTGCATTTCTTTAGGTATTTGGTTCATTATTTGAACTACGATGGTTTGTGAAAAATTCTCATTTCAGCATTTCACAGTGGGGAGGAAATCAAGGGAGTATACTGCAGCCTGTTTCTTCTTGCTTTCTCCAAACTCCTGGAGTTCTTTAGTACTTCCCATCAGCTGTATGCAACTAGAATCTTGAGGCAAGGGACCTTTCCAACCTGACCCATATAGGTCAGCCTCCAGGTATATCATGAGCAGAGTGAAGCGAGGATCTGCTGAGGCAAAGGAATGATATCCAGCAAATACTCCATATTCATTGTGGACTCTTTCAAGTACGGAAATGGAAAGTGGTCAAGAGTCTTATCTTCCCACCATTCTACGACATAAATGTCTTAAAGAAATTTAAAATAAGCAAAAATATTTCACAGTTACTCACATATTTACCATTTTTAGGGTTCTTTCTTTCATATATTCAGTTTTGCTTTCTGAGACATTCATTTTTTCTGTTAGTTTTCTGCTTGGAGGAGGTTCAGCTATATGGTCACTTAATCTAACAGTTGACAAGGATAATTTCTGTAATTTCCAGGTAGCTTCAGTTACTTATCAGTTAAATTGCTTCCTGCATTAAGATTTAACCATAGGCCCCTTAGTCTTGATTGTCTTCCTGCTGGGTGGGAGAATAATTTAAAAAAGAAGTATAGTCCTAGAATGAATATTCTTAAACTACTGGCAGGTTACTTTGGTGGTGGTAAAGCAAAAACAAATGTTAATAGTTGAAACTTTTACAAGAAGAGCTCCTAATTCCTAGAACCTTGGGGATATTATGTTATGGTTAGGGTGCTAGAATATATAGTTAAGTATTATGCTATTTGCTAAAATAATGAGATGATATAATATTTAAATATTATTTTAATATATAAATATGTAATATACATTACATATTAAATATCAATATACATCATATATTTAATGTAATATTAAATATTATATTTAAAAGCAGGACTACTGAATAAAGGAGAAGTGGAAATAAGTTTCAGGAGTAAATACTATTTGTTATTCTGACATGATATCTGAGCACTGAGTAATAAAGTTCAAGCGTGTTCTGATACTTGTCACTAAAACCTTCCACATTTAAAGGCAAAGGAAGACAATTTCAAATTTAAGATAGCCTAGATGTTAAGGAATAAAAGAACTAATTGCAAAATGTTATGGTTTTGCCTGTGAGTTAAAACCTAGAAGAATGGAAAGCTAAGTTTTCATGTTGTTTTTTGTTTGTTTGTTTTGCTTTGTTTAGAAAATTACTGTAAGTAAGTTCACCTATTAAAAATCAAAACAAACCAAACATTTCCCATTATTAGATTGTATTTCTTATCAATTTCAATCTCCCTTAATGATTTTTTTTAAGTGTTTTCACCTTGTATTATAATTTATTCTTGGTGTTAAGTACTTTTATTTGTTTCTGTCTTTGTTAAGCTTTATTATTTCCCCTCCCCAAAAAAGCTTTATCATAAAATTTATAGTTCATAGTATCTCTCTTTTTCAAGTTTTGAATATGACATCTTTTTAATTGGCTATTGTTGTCTCCATTTTTTATGGCAAAATAAGCAAGAATGCCACATTGGATTTTTAAAAATAATTACAGAATCAATAAAACTATCTGATTTATATGTATTTTCAACAAAAGATCTTTGATGAGGTCACATTCAGTCTATGTTGGTCAAATCTGCCCCTTCACAAGCTCTCCACTCTGTAGAACACAGATTTAGTAGACTTGTGAAAAAATGTTGCTAGGTGATCTTGGAAGTAAAGGTAGACATATTTATGCTTTCCTCTTTTCTGCATTGTAAATATGTAAATATATCTTAGGTTTCATTAATGAGAAATGATGTACAAATGTATCAGAATCCTAAATTTATAATTTTATTAAAATGGAAATATTGGATTTAAACATAGTTGCTATAATCTGATGCAGTTTTTGTTACAATTTAATATATGCCCCTGATAGAAAGTAATAGAGAACTACTTGTGCTAATGGAAAGCAGGGGGTGAAATTTTCCTTCATCCTTGCATAAGTCAGTAAAAATTGCGCTTTTACTAGTTTTAAAAAATTCTTTGGATATTCACCAGTGACTGTAATCTAAATTGACTACACAAAACTGTATTGGGTATGTAGTTTGGAATAAACAAAGGTGATAGCTGATAGAAAGTGCTACCCTGTGGTTAAAGACCTTAAAGGAAAGCTCCCCTCTAATCTATAGTTTTAATAAATTGGTTCTGTGTACTTGGTAATAGACAGTTTTTTTTTTGTTTGTTTTTGTTTTTTTTTAAATTTTTTTTTTCAACGTTTATTTATTTTTGGGACAGAGAGAGACAGAGCATGAATGGGGGAGGGGCAGAGAGAGAGGGAGACACAGAATCGGAAACAGGCTCCAGGCTCTGAGCCATCAGCCCAGAGCCTGACGCGGGGCTCGAACTCACGGACCGCGAGATCGTGACCTGGCTGAAGTCGGACGCTTAACCGACTGCGCCACCCAGGCGCCCCATGTAATAGACAGTTTTTAAAGGCATACATACCACGTGACTAGAAAGTTTGTCTTTCTTGAAACTGATTAAAAAGCCTAGATAGATACTATTTTATTTTCAAATATTACTTGTATGAATGAAACAATTGCTAAGAATAGTTACTGTGATTTGGAGGTATTCCACTGTTTGAGGAACATATATATTTTACTTCTGCACAGATAGATAAGTATGAATGTTTACCTGCCCTGGAAATGGGCAAATGCTTGTATTATGGCTTAGAGACATTTACATATTAGTTTACAGAATGTACAAATCTCATATGTCAAGAATGGAACGACGTGTGCTGCCCTGCTTTGTACCAGTATTCTCAGGCAGAAAAATTGAGAAAATGATCAGATTTTGGCACTAGTTGTTCAATTTGCAATTTGGAATTTCAGCTGATAGGAAGAGAATTAAGATCCATTAAAATAGATGATACATGGTTTATGATTGTGCCAAATTCTTGATTGAATAATGAGTTGGCTGGTTGTAATTCCTCACTGTCACTTCATAGCACTTCCATTTTTACGGTATTTTCAGACTCAAGTTGCTTTTGAAATGGGAAACTGTATTTTGGATATATATCTTTTGGAAAGGAGTATACATGATTGTTTACAAATAGCAAAGTGGGCTCTTTGTATATTTTCATCACTGTTCTTACTGAAGGAAATAAATTAAGCAACTTTATACTGACAGCAGAAGGATTCTACTAAGGTCTCTCATCTAATCTTTGTCCACGTGAGGATTGTCCTCTTTCAATACTTCACTGCCTTGTGAGGAGCTAGAAAGGAAGATTTAGTAGAAGATTAATGTGATTCTATCTAATAAATGGCAGTCCAGTATAATCTCCAACTTAACTCAGTAGATGGGTAAGTAAGTGATTTTTAAGACTTTGAGAAAATAGATTTCTTACTGTAGCCTCTCAGGTGAGAGGAAATAGTGTTTTTTAATCAGAATATCAGTTTCAGGTATATTTTATTATTCTCTTATTGTTTGTTTAGAAATAACAATGATATTTTTATAAAGTTTTAAGGGAAAAAGGGTTGAAATAAGCTCAAATTGAGCAGTTTTTGAAGTCTGGGATTTTCCCTTCCCAGTAAAAACTTAAGAGTTATGCCCTGTAGTATTGAGGGAGGACCATATGTTCCATTAAGAGGAAACACTGTATGTGTGGCACATTTCCGTATGCATTCCTCCGAAAACTGTCTTTCTCAGTATCAGAACTAGGTTTGTAGAATTACAGATTGAAAAGGGAGGTTTTTCTCTCCCTGTCTTTTGGCAAGGTGTGGCCCATTCTACCTACCATCACTTTTATTTTAAACAGTTTTAAACTGATAGGGTGTTGTTGTTTTTTCTAGAGAGCTTAGACCATAATTTGGAAAGAAATACATAGTTCATATTTGACACCTCCTCAGACTATTATGTCTCAATTCTGAATTGTTCTGTCTTAAACTTGACTTATCCTGGAGGGGTTGAAATAAATTGAAAGGAGTTAGGTTTAGCAATTACATTATAAAATAATTAAAACTGCTTTATATTCAGTGGTAATTCTTGGAAATAATAATTTGTTATGTGTAGAAAAAGGCATTGTTATTTTAAATCATTATGTGTGTGCATGCACGTGTGTGTGTGTGTGTGTGTGTGTGTGTGTGTGTGTGTGTGATGCTTTTCTCCCTCTGAGGCAGAGAAAATAACCTAGCCCCTAGCTAAAAGTTTGATTAATTGGATTCTTTACTATGTGATCCAGCAGAATGTGTTAAACTTGAGGACAGTTACAAGACATGCTTTTAAGCAGGAGCTACTCAGAACAAGTCATTATACATGTACAAAGTGAAAAATGAAAATGATGAACCAGAGACTGTTTGGCATTATTGGCTCTTCCCTTATATAAATGGAGGGAAATATCTACTGTATAATATGTAGCTGTAAGCCAGTATGTGACTTCCAGTAGGACTAACCAGTTATACGAATAGCCTTAAATACTGTCTGATTTTATCTGTGGTACCAGCTCTGAGGAAGAACCAATTATCTGTCTACATTTTAAGTTTTTATATATAGAAATTTGCAGTTAGCAGAATTCTTTTCACATATCCTTTTTTAAACATTTTTTTTTGTTTATCTGTATGTAAGATAGTGTGCTCTTAACTTTATATTCAACAAAGTATATTGGATATTGTGTAAGTTAAATAGACATGATTCCTGTCTTCTAGTAATCACTAGAGATGTTGCATATCATGATAAATTTTATATGTTTAAACTTTTGTATGGCTAGGTACAAGGAGTTTGGTATTGGAGCTTTGGCTTCTGATATAGTGTGAGGTTACTAGACTATCTCCAAAATAGACTCAAGGTTTAGGAGTTTGGGCCATTCTAGAGTCTACACTGAATGTGTGATTTACTTCTTGAAGAAACAAGCCTTTTCAATTCAAAGGTGTTAAACAAGGCACCAAAGATATAGGACTACCATTCACTGCTTATATTTTATGTTTATGAAGTTGGAATAGTAGAAATCCCGATGCCTTTTGAGATATGTTAATATCGAATTTCTTTTGCTAGTATTTAGTAAACTAAGGGAAACCCTCACAAATAATGTATCACATCTGCAGTGCAAGTTCTGGTTTTCTCTGTGATAAGAAAGAGATACGAATTAGGTCCATAAAAACAGATTTTGCAGAAATCTTTTGATGTGTTTCTTATAGGGACTTTCTTTTTTTTGGAGAAAATGGTTAGATTGAGAAATCTGTTGCTTTTTTTAAGTTGTTAGTAAAGAGAATTGTACTCAGAATTAAATAAGACTAATGAGAGTGGTTGTTATTTATTTTTCAGGTTTATATATTAAATTCCTGGTTGTAACATCATTAAAGGAAGAAATTGTCAGCAGTTTGACTTAGTCAGTCTCGTACTAGTGCTTTGAGGTCAATGTGATTATTTATTTCTTCTTTGCTTGGGTAAAACAAAGATAATTGATATTTCCTTAAGGTCAATAATGAGTTTCTCATATCTTTTCAGACTACTTATTACATATAAAGTATACTTGGGTACAAGTCAGATGACATCAGATATTCTAGTAAAAATAAATTTATCATAGTAGGAAATAAATCAGTTATTTTATTAACTCCATTTTGAGTAAACAGTTTTTGTTTGATGTTCCTTAAATTCCCTGAATGTATTATTAACCCACCAAAAAAATTACTTGGTAAAACTATTCTCTCTCAGGTTATTTCTGGTCCCATACCACTAGGGGTCACTTTAACTCAAGAACCCTTTTCCCCCTTTCTTCATCTATGGAATACTCAGTATAATTGAAAAGCAGGGGAGTGAATTTAGAGCTCAAATTCTCCGAATTTGTGATGTCTCTAACTTTTAAAGGAAATATTTTTAGGTTTTCAAATTAGTTTCATAGCAATTGAAACATAATGTAGTCTTAACCATAGGTAGTGTTACTCAGATTGAATGTTATTTTTTAAGAATAGAAACATTATTTTGGTCTTTCGATTATAGGAACTTACAATTAGTGATACTGGCAGGTTTTCATATAAAATTCTAAGAGACTTTTCTGCTTTTTTTTTTTTAGAATGATGCACAGTGATTTGCAAATAATCAATGGCCAGAGGATCATAAAACAATCTAGATGCTGTTTTTTAATTTGGGTGCTTTACTTATGAGAATTTACTTGTGATGATAACTAAAATACTCAATTACTGACTTTTTAAAAAAATTACACTATTAAAACATGAGACTTAATAAAGCTGTGGTTTCATTTTGATCATTTTTAAAAAGCCAGTATTGAAAACTAATATTTATTATCTACATACACCAAATTCTCTTTAGCTTTTTATTCTTTTTTGATAAGTGTTAGTAGTTATTCTCATTTGATAAGTGTCTGTAACCATCTACTCTGCCTCGGTACAAATAGGAATAGTCCATGACTGACTCAGCTTTATATGACTCAGCTGTCAAGTTAAAATCATATTCAATATTATTGAATATTGGTTGTTATGTGTACCAGGTGTCCTGAAGCTTCCTTACTTATTTTTCCAACTTTTTAACTTGAAAGTTTTAAGCATACAGAAACTTTGAAAGAAGAGGATGGCGATCACTTGTATGTTTATCTTGTATATTCAACAATTGACTTTTTCTTATGTTTGTTTTAAATGTTTCTGTATGTGTTTTCTGGGCCGTTTAAAATTAAGTTGCAGACATCATGGCACTTGATCTCTAAGCATTTAAACATACATCTCCTAAAAATAAAGGTGTTTTTCTTCACAGCCACAGTACTATTATCATGTCGAAGAAAATCAACAGTAATTTCTTTAATGACATCCAGTGTTCATTCTATAAACAGATTATTTCAGTTACCCAAGATGTATTTTATGGATAGTCTTTTCAAACCAAGTTTTTATCAAGGCCTGCATATTTATTGTATTTTAGTTGTTTCAGAGATTGATTTCCACTACAGATTTATTGTACTAAACATACTTTCCCCCATTTTCTGATATATGTGTCTCTGTGCTGAATGTTTTCCCTAATAACACTTGATATACGTACAGGGGTAGTAGAAACTAGGTGACTGTAGGAGATGGAATTTACAAGTTGGTACAAATTTAAAAGTTGTTTTTGGGGAGGGTAGGTTCTTGGCTGGCTCAGTCAGTAGAGTGAGGATTGTGAGTTCAAGCTCGACATTAGGTATAGAGAATTTAAAAATACAATCTTAAAAAAAAAGTTTCATTTTTTGTTTTTTGTTTTTTTCTAAGAATGACAGAAGGGCTCTGAATTCTTTTGCATATGTTACTGGTGTGCTTAAGCCAAAACATATAAATATATATGTAATATGATATTGTTTATTTCATGCAGAAAAGAAACTTGGTCTAATTAGGCATCATATGTGTTATTAGAAGTTGATATGCCTGTTTGAATAAGAGCATTTTACGAAAATTGATTTTTCTGTAGTATTTTGGAAACTGGTTTGGCTTTTAGAAGCACAGCCTGATTACAAAGATACCCTTATACCAAGATTTGAAATTACTCAGGTTGTGTGTGTGTGTGTGTGTGTGTGTGTGTGTGTGTGTGTGTATAATAACTGTATAACACATAGTTTTCATGTAATTTTTGTTTCAGGTATGACTTTAAAGCTCTTTGTGTTGTGTGTGTGATGTATGTATGTGTGTGTTAGGTGATTTTTTGGGGAGGCTTTGTGGTCTATTTGAAATATTCCTCATCCAGCAGTCAAGATATCTTGGTCCTAGTTTGTCTACTTAACAGTCATATGACCTCAGACGAGTCTTTTAATCTCTCTGGTTCTTATGTCCTCATCTGAAAAATGGGGATAACACCAGTTCTGCTACCCTGATGGGGTTATTTCTTATATTAGAGATGTGAAAACAACCTGGACATCACAAGATTCTATAAAAGTAAGGCGATAGGTTATTGTTATGGTATATATGTAAAATTACCTAATACTGTTTTCTTTAGATTTGGCAGTGACTTTTTAAAATATAGATTGAATAATATCACCTTTAGTACCAAAGGTGAGTAAATTGTGTAGTGCTCAAAATAAGAATCTACTCGGTTATTTTGTTGGATGAAATAAAATGTGTATTGTGAGTGGTTTTATAAAATTAAGTATTTGTTCAATTAAAATTAAGTTTTGTTCTTTTGAATGATCTGCATATATCTTAATGTTGTATGGATACAAATTTTATTTATAAATGTTATTAGCAGAAGATAAATGTTTAAAAAGTTTATGACAGTCAAAATTTTGTCATGTGAAAGCAACCTCTTGGTAGAAGTTTAACCATGTTAAAAATTTGCATAGAAAATAAAATTGTCGTTAGGATGCAGCTCACTTTAATACTATGGAAAAGCTGTAGCTAACTTAAATCTTGCTAGTGTTTGTATTGTAGTATTTCAGCATACAAAATTTATATGACTATCTGTTCTCATTTTTCTTTCCTTGCAGCTTTTAGTGTGGTGACTAGATTAAATTTAACACTGGTGGAGTCCTAGATACATAATGTTACCCTTCAGAATTTTGTTGCTATTTTCATGCCTTGAAAGATTTTAGAATTCTGGTCACTGATAGTTTTTCTTTTTAAAATGGATTATTGAAAGGGATAAAAGGAAAACAACAGTTCTTAGAGTTATGTATGAAGACATCACAGATAATTTTTTGAGGTGTTTTGCTCAGAAAAATTCTACCATCATCTTCTTCATTTTAAAAGTATATAAGAATCTGAAGATACATTATAATTCACAAATGGTATAATGTTGATTGTAGTCTTTTAAATTTCTACTTTGTTCTAAAATAATCTACTTCAAGGCCCAATGTTTCTTTTAGGTATTTCCATAGATCTTTGTTAGGCATTGAGAAGATCTTGTTGCTGACAAAGATCTGGCAACATACATGTGTGTGTATTATATATATAGATTTCTCTTCCAAATATTTTATAGAAGTCAGTGATGTTTTATCATCTTAAAATTGTATAAAGTTAAGATTTTTTTTACTGTATATATTCTTAGGAACTAAGCTCTTGATGTCACATACAGAAAGATGGCATTTACATTCTACCTATGTAGCTTCTTTACAGTATTAAATTTGTATCACATTTTTTCTTTTTAAAATAGAGATGTGCTCCTGCATCTATTCGCCTCATGGACAACCAACAGTTTCAGTTTGGTAAGTAAGGAATGGTCATTTTAAAATCTGCTCATGAAGCCCCAAAATTTGTGAAACAGCTGTTACATGCCAGGAAGAGTACTGAATACAGAGCTAGGAAGATGAATGTCATAGTTCCTGTCCTTCAGGAAGCCCTTAGTCTAATGGTGACAGACAATTACAGAAATGAATGAGTGCAGGATTGTTAGAGATGCTATGAAAGAAGAGTGCACTGGATACCCTGGGTGCAAATGAAGGAATGGTTGAACCTGCTGGATTTTGCTGGATGTCAATATGGGGATTCAGGAAAGATGCTTTTTTTTTTTTTAATGTTTATTTTTTAAGATAGAGACAGAGTGCAAGTGGGAGAGGGGCAGAGAGAGAGGGAGACACAGAATCTGAAGCAGGCTCCAGCCTCTGAGCTGTTAGCACAGAGCCTGATGCAGGGCTCGAACTCATAAACCACGAGATCATGACCTGGGCTGTAGTTGGATGCTTAAACGAACTGAGCCACTCAGGCTCCCCTAAGAAAGGCTTCTTAAAGGAGGGTAATGCTTACATTAAATCTTAAGGGGAATAGAAGTTTGCTTGGGATGTTTTCCTCTTCCCTCCTACCAAATTTGTTCACTCATCAGGAAAAAAATATGAAATTGTGAGACCTCAGTGGCATCTTTGCACTTCAAGTAGTTCAATGTGGCTCAAATAGAGGGTGGGTGAGAGTTGTTACAAGAGATGAAGCTGGATGGGTGGAGTAGGGCTTTGCAGGATTGATTTGGATTTTACCATGTCAGCAAAGGGATTTACATCTGAGAATACTCCATTCTGCTAGCATTATGCAGGGTGGAGTAGAATGGTGCAGGCGGGGAAGAGGAGTGGAAATGGTTCAAGGGGCCAATTTTGGGGGCCTTGATCAAGGAAGCAGCGATGGAGATAGAGAGTAAGGCATAGATTTCCTAGAGCTCAGTTTGCCAACTAGATGTGGAAGGTTCCATAAGCAGAAGGGTTGAGGGCAACTCCAAGATTGCTGATTTGACTGACTGGGTGGACTGATGAAAAGTCTAGGAGAGAGATGATGATTTGGGGGAAAAGACATTACAATGGGTTGTTTTTAAGGTACTGTTGGAATATTCAGGTAGAGAATTGAGTACCAGGTAACCATGTTTCTTTTTCCCCCTTTTTGCATTAAAGTATTAAACTTTCTGACTCTGTTTATCATCTTTTCAATTCTCATTTTATTGCTTTTATATTGTTTTCCATATGCTGAAATTGAGTTTGGAACTTACGTTCATAGAATTTAAGTATCTTCAGAACAGTCCCTGAAATTATAGGAATGATTGCTCAGTAGTAAACACTAATGGCTAAGATAGGCAGACTTTTGTTTGTTCTATTTAAGAGTAGTTTAGGTTTTAATTTAGGGAAGAGTGATTATATAGTATAGAAGCTGAAAGAAGTCAGGGGTGCTTGGGTGACTCAGTTGATTAAGCGTTCCAACTTCGGCTCAGGTTGTGATCTCACGCCTTGTGAGTTCAAACTCCAGATTGGCCTCTGTGCTGACAGCTCAGAGCCTGGAGCCTGCTTCGGATTCTGTGTCTGCCTCTCTCTCTGCCCCTCCCCCTCTCACACTCTGTCTCTCTCAAAAATAAATAAACATTAAAAAATAATTTTTTTAAAGAAGCTTATGGAAGTCATGTTCATAATATATCAAGAGTTAGTTTTAAAATTTGATTCTTTTAAGTCATAGCTGTTATTTCTTTAAATTATTTTCAAAATACTATACTACTGGTAAAAGTTTAAGATAAGTACATCCTTTAAATAATTAAATAGTTAAATCAAATGGAAATCAAGCCTTCTGTGTTTTGGCCTGCATTTAGAGATCTAGGTCTTAAGAGAGCCATGTATCTGATTAATAATGCTTTTACCCATTTATATGCTATTATTATAGTGAGTTATAGTCATAAACACCTTTGTAAAATTAACTATAATTTGACTAGATTTTATTTATAATTGGGATATATAGCAATTTAAGATGAAGGTTTAAAGAAAATGTCCTTCTGGCTATCTCTCATCCCTGTTCCACGTTCTCATTGCTGTATCTAGGAACATGCTTTAAGGTAGGCTCTACCCTCTCCATCTTGACTATATCTTTTGTCTCCTTCCACCCTTTACTTGGCCGCCAAAGTCATTCTTTGGAAAGACAGATCTGTTCCTGCTTCTCAGCTATCTATAACCTTTTTGATTTCTCACTACCTGTTGAAGCCTTGCCATCTACATATCTTGCCATGGCTCCATGATCACGCAGCTAAACACAGCAAGGGATGTCCAGGACTTTGTACCAGCCATATGGCTTATTGGCAGTGTTTGTACCATACTCCTTAACAAATCACAAGCCTTATTATTAGATGTTAATATTTTTAATTTCATTCCTGCCTCTTGACACAACCCTTATTAGTTCATTATACTGAAATGATTTGTTTTCAGTGTATTGAAGTGATAGGTATCATTGAGTATATTGAAATGATCTGTAGAATTTCCTCTGAAACACTAAATTTTGTCAAATTTAGGGATGTTTTTTATTCATTTTTATATCCCCTGCACCTGTCATATGACAGGTACTGACATGTTGATTGACTTAATCATCTACTTAGCCAAAGAGGATGAATAAATCTTGGAGAGCACATAGTGTAGTCCTAAGCACAATGTCAATAGCACAATTTATCAAATACTCCTTACAGCTGTCCCTAAAAGTAATATTCTCAGTTTAGAGATGACTCAAAGGCTAGATATTTCAGCCCACAGGTCATATGTCGTAGAGCAGGAGTTGAATCCAAATCTGTCTGACTCCAAGGCCCAAAACTTTTGCCACTGTTTGAGATCATTTCTTTGAAATGTAGATATTTATTAAATAATTTAAATTAAAAAAAATTTTTAATGTTTATTTTTGAGAGAGAGAGACACAGAGTGTTGAGCGGGGGATTGGTTAGAGAGGGAGACACAGAATCCAAAACAAGCTCCAGGCTCTGAGCTGTCAGCACAGAGCCCAATGCGGGGCTCAAACTCACAAACTGTGAGATCATGACCTGAGCTGAACGGCTGCTCAACGGACTGAGCCACCCAGGCACCCCAATAATTTAAAATTTTAAAAGTAACACTGTAACAACACAGCATTTACTAATCATACTGTTTAGTAAATCTGAAAATTTAGTTCCTTCATTTACTATAAAAAATAAAACACAGTAGTCAGAATATATTTAGAACGTAATTAATTTGAAAGACAATGTTAATTTAATAAGTAAAAGATAATAATATTCCCTTAGGTTAATACTAATGCTGACCCACTTAAAGTTAGTATCACTTTTATAATATTATTCTTCAGAGCTAATTTGTCAACTCCATATTTGGGATACAGGTGACTAAGTCCCACTAGTGTTAATGGAAATTGTGCAAATGAATTTCCATGTGTTACGAACATTTACCCTTAAGGACTATTCCACATCAGTGTAGTAACATTTGGAGTCCTCATACATGGTGTAAAGATGTGTGGATCAGAAGGATCAATTGTGGATCAATTTCTTGCAAGAACACAACTCACACACTCATACATTTATGTTTATGTATTTCCAGTTGTTTAAGTAGGATGAATTCTATTTAGGACAGGAAGTGAATATTTTGATATGTTATTTCTAACTTTATACTTATTAGAAATGGTATCTCTTAAGGCACTGATTATGTTGGGAAAGCATTTTTTGACAGGTTACAGTAAAAGAAAAAAATTTTCCAAACATCTTGCTTGTGATCCAGGTACTCAAAAAGATTTCTGGGTTGATCTCTATCTAATCTGGCCTTCATTTGTCTTTTGTTTTTTGTTTTGGTCAGTTATAGCATGGATATCTAACTCTTAATCTCTGGTTAAGACTTATGTTACTTGGTCTTTTATATCACACAGTTTCCTGTTGTAGTCAGTAAAAATGCAATAAGTATTACAGATTCAGAATCTAACTTAAAAAAAAAAAAAAGAATGGGGGGGGAGACTACATACAAATCATAGTCTTTTCCCCCTAGAAATCTACCCTCTCACCCCCAAAGAAACTAGTTTGCTATTTGCACCAATCTTAAAGAACAGATCTATACTTTAAAAACAAACAAAATCCCCAAATCTTAAAGCTTGTTAAAAAAATAAACTTTTTACTTGGAGATAATTTCAGATTTACTAGAGACTTTAAAATTCTTTATAAAAATTCTATATAAATGGTATGCCCCATTTTTCTGAATTGGCCTTATAGCACTAAAGCCAGATGTATCTGACTCTTAAATCTAACAGTCACGGGAGTTAAAAAGTTGCTCTGAAAACAATGAGAAAACAGTAAAAGACTTTCACTCAATTAAACTCAATCCGCAGGCAAAGATGTTAATTTAACAGACTCTGAGACACCGTTTATGTTATTCCGGCAATTTTAACTCTCTGGGTGTGATTAAGGAAGCAATTACTAGTTTTATGCCAAGAATTCTGGAAGAATTAGGAATTAATTAAGAAACAACCTTGAACTTGGCATTGACTCCATATTTGGTTATGGTTCTGAATGGTTTCTGCATAATTAAAAAAAATAAAAGTAAAACCAGCCACCATTGGGTGTTCTTAATGAAATAAAAATTAATGAAGTGATTTTACTATGTATAAACTATACCACTGAAAGATAAACCTAAACTATATGTAGTATTAATTACATGTGGTAATTTGAGTTCAAAAAGAAATGAGAGGTTTAATAAACAAATAGTTGTGACTTTTGAAAGAAGATAAAGATGAAAGATGTAAATCTTGGGGCGCCTGGGTGGCGCAGTCGGTTAAGCGTCCGACTTCAGCCAGGTCACGATCTCGCGGTCCGTGAGTTCGAGCCCCGCATCAGGCTCTCGGCTGATGGCTCAGAGCCTGGAGCCTGTTTCCGATTCTGTGTCTCCCTCTCTCTCTGCCCCTCCCCCGTTCATGCTCTGTCTCTCTCTGTCCCAAAAATAAATAAACGTTGAAAAAAAAAAAAAAAGAAAGATGTAAATCTTAATATCAGTATGTTATACATAAAACATAGGAAGATTTTAAAAATTTGGAGTCATGAAACATTCACTTTTTTTAGTATACTAAATTAAACTAGCCTCTTAATCTTCTGAAAAACAGAATTTGCTATTAATTTAAAATATGAACTTTTCTCTTCTTAGGTCATGCTCTTAAACCTCAGGTTTCCTCTATTTTTACATCATTTTTGGATGGCTTAAAAAAGTTTTATATTACAAAGGTAAGAATTTTTATTAAATGCCAAAATTTTAAATGCTTATGATACTAATTTTGTCTCCTGCCTTCTCACCCTTCACATGTACCTATTATTATGTTTTTTCATGAATGTAAATTTCATAATAATTATTTTTCATGTTGGAATAAATATTTTATTGAGTAAATCAGTTATTCATTTAATTTCAGAAATTTTCATTTTTTCCCCAGATTTGAAGTTTCTAAAAATAACAGTACCTTAAACAGTTTCATGCATGTACAATTTTTTATAGTTTGATTTTTTTATAGTAGATGTCAATATCTAGTGTACTAAGAGTATGGATTTTTTTTTTTTTTTTAATTTTCACTGAATTCCTTTTCTAAAGGGTTATACCAGCTTATACTCTCATGATACACAGGTGCTGTTTCTTTGTTGCATCCTTGCTATTCATGTAGGAGTTTTGTTTTTGTTGTCTCAGATTTACTGAATCCAGGGGGAAAAGTGGTATTTTTAATGTTTCTCATTGAAACTCCAATGAGACTTAATCATTTCCTTGTATTTCCTGGATGTAGTTTTTGTGTGAAGTAGTTGAATGTGATTATTTTGCCAGGGGTGGCAGCTTCATGGTATTTTTTTCTTGGTGCTTTGCTGTGTACCCTTTGAATAATGGAATGACTAGATGCCTTTGTTACAAATGTTGTAAATAATTGAGTCAAGTGACTCCCTTTTTTAAAAATTTCGTTTAATATTTATTTATTTATTTTGAGAGAGAGAGAAAGAGAGAGTGAGCAAGTGCAGGCACAATCGGGGGAGGGACAGAGAGAGAGGGAGACACAGAATCCAAAGCAGGCTCCGGGCTCTGAGCTATCTGGACTGAGCCCATCGTAGGGCTCAAACTCATGAACTGTGCAATCATGACCTGAGCTGAAGTCGGACACTTAACCTACTGAGCCACCCAGGTGCCCCCAAGTGACTCTGTTTTTAGTAAGAGTTTTTCTTTTTGGTTCAAAAGTTTCAAGTTTTTATATATTTTTCTGTGATTATTTAATCACTTCTTTTTTTTAATGTTTGTTTATTTTGAGAGAGAGAGAGGGAGAGAGAGTGAACTCACACATGCGGAGTGGAGGGCGGTTTGCAGAGAGAGGGAGAGACAGAATCCCAAGCAGGCTGCCCGTTGTCTGGGTGGTCAGTGCAGAGCTGGATGCAGATCTCATCCCATGAACCGCAAGATCATCACCGGAGCCGAAATCAAGAGTTTAGATGCTTACCTGACTGAGCCACCCAGGCGCCCCTATTTAATTACTTGTAAGCTTAGAAAAGTCTACCTTTCTCCAGAGCTATAATTGGTATATGTGCTGCCGAAGCGAGCACATCTCCAGAGCTATAATTGGGACCATTTCTTCTCTCTCTTGGGTTTTTCTTAAGTATGAATTTAAAATTTTTAATCTTTGTTACTATTTGAATTTATTTCAATTTTATAGTGTGAGATGAAGATCTGAATTAAACTTCACTTTCTGCTCCAGTTGCTAACCAGTTGTAACAGCACCATTAACTTCCTTACTTTGCTTACAATTGATTTGTCATGTCTAAGACATCTTCTTATATACTTACTCAAGAAGTGGACCCCATTTTAATGTGTCAAATACTGTATGATCTCTTTTACATAAAATCTAGAAAAAAAATATTAAAAAACTAAGTTCATAGATACAGAGAACAGACTGGTGATTGCCAGAGACGGGGTGAAGGGTAAGAGAAAAAGGCAAACTTTTTGTTTTCAGGGGTGGAGGGGTAGAAGGAGCGGGTGAACTGTTTTTGTTTTTGTTTTTAGTTTAAATAAATTGAATTTTAAAAAAGGTATCACTTTTTTAAAATGAGTTTTTATTCTTGAAAAATTAAGTGGATTTAATTACTATAAATCTACTTGGTTTTTAGAATTTTTCTCGTTACCCATCATTACCTACCTGTTTATCAACATAGAAAACTTTTAAAAACTCTTCACCATTTTAGGGAATCCGTTAAGGTTTCTATCAGAATTGGAATAAATCTGTTATATTAGTTTGAGCAAGAATTCACAGATTTATTTACTTAGTTCAGGCATTCTAGAACATTTTAGACACATTTTCCTAATGAGGTTATATATTTTCTTTTATGATTATTCTCAGATATTTTTCATTTTAATTATATGTAAGATCTCCTTTGAAAATGTTATTAAGAAGTTATAGTTGGTATGTAAGAGAAGAAATGGTCCCTGTTAGTTTTTACTTTTATCTACATCCTGTATCTTGCTAATTCATTATGTTCTATTATTTTGGTATTTTTATTTGATTCTTTATTGCAGTTATGATTCTTACAAGTTATTTGCTATATTACATATCAATATGTCATTTCTACTGACACCATGGCATACTTTGAAATTAGGTATTTTCTGTAGTTTTGTTTATAACAACCTGAACAGGTATATTAAACATTCTTTTTGATTGACATGTGAAGTTCCAAAGCTCGATTTTTAGAGTTGGTATGTTTGAGCCCAGGTCAGAAGGACAAAAAGAGCAAAATGTTTTTGATTTACTGTTTCGCAGGTAAAGATTTATCTATCTATCTGTCTAAGTATATGTCTTTTTTTTTTGTATTTTGTAGTTTAAAGGATTTGATCCAAATCAGTTAACTGTTGCTACATTACTATTTGAGGGGGACCGTGAGAAGGTTCTTCAACATGAAAAACAAGTGTATGACATTGCTGCAAAATTTGGGTATGGCTCTAAGTTCATAATGCCAAGAGAATGTTAATTGAAAATTCTGGTATCTGTAAGCAGTTGTTAATGCACCCCTAAAGGATTAAATTTGTAGCAATATATGATAGTCAACTTAAAATGTTGTGTTGGTTACTTCCAAAATTTGCAGAAAATTTGATTGGTATGTTGCTCTTACTTGTGTAAGCATATATATTAGGATATATTAAATATTTTATTACATTTTTCCATTAATTTTATAATATTTGCTTTTGTTATGCTAGAGTAAAATATGAAAAAATTCATAGTCATCTTACTATTTAATGGTAATAGTATATATATATAAAACATGTTATTAGTATGTTTGTGAAAGGAAATTTTTTAAACAAAAGAATTTGATAAATTATCTATACTCCACCCCTTGTCACTTACTGTTTTCTGCTGGTATAAAGAAACAGAAAACATTTCACATATATAACCAACTGAATAATGACTGGGTGGTTTCTGTCTGTCTGCTTGATGGATTATGAGATTGATCGATGAGAACTGTAGTGAAAATGCCATTTATCAGGACTACATTTTTCCCTTCCCTTTTTAAATACGTAAACTAAGTTTCCTGGATACAAGTCATCGTCGTCGTTGTCGTCTTCTTCTTCTTCTTCTTCTTCTTCTTCTTCTTCTTCTTTTTCTTTTATTATAATTTCAGAGTTTAAAATATGTATGTATGCTTAATCTGAGTTCTTTGTAAATATATACTTTAGTTTCCCTTTTTTGCTATTTATGAGAACAAATGAGCACTTAATATTTGTAGCCTTGTGTTTTAGAATGCCTCACTTTTATATATTTTTCTCACTATGATATTCAGCTCTTTATTTTTAGGATTTTCTGAACTTTGTGTTTAAAGTACAGAATTCTTAGAAAAAGATCTAATCTTTGGCTTAAGTTTTGATTTACTTTGGTACTGTGTTTGAGTATTGCAAATCAGCCTCTCAGTTTTATTCTTACCTTATTCTGAAATTGGCAAGTCGAATTAGTAAAAGATGAAATTCACTAATCTTTTACTTTTCCTCTCTCAGAGTACCTTTTTGGGGAATTAACTGATTTTTTTTTAACTAAATTAATTAAGAGTAATTGTGCCATAAAAATTCATTTAATAGCCAGAAGACTTAGATTTCAGGTTAATCTCTGAATTTATTTTTGAAATATACATGTACCTATTTTTTAGTTTCTAAGTTATGTGAAGTATATATATAATTTGATTTTTAAAACATTTTTCTTAAAATCCATGGTATTAGAAATAAGGGGATTTAAATTAAAATCTTTTATATATAAATTAAATCTTTTAGTTTCTGTTATAGCCTTAAATATTAGAGGCTGAAACTTTTAAAAATTGTTTTTTATATATTGAAATATTTAATTGGGACGTCAAAATTATTCAGGAGCACTTGTAGGGAAATGGATGCTATAATATTTGAATTACTTTATATGAGGTTAAATTTGCTTAGTTTCACCTCAGTCCCCCCAGTGACCCTTCCTGCCTCCAGCATACACACCAACACATGCATACAGATGCAGAGAAATTCCACTTTGTAGTACCTCTAATTGTAATTAAAATTCAGAGTAGCCAACAAAATCATTACTAGTTAGTAATGTGCTACGTTTCCTCTTGGACTGGGGTAGGATGATGACAAAGTGCCTTTTTGTGTGAGGTAAGACGTAATTCTTCAACTGTCTCTTCTTGGACATCACTGTTGATGCCTGGTATATACTAGACACTTAATTGAACATTTGTTGAAAGAATTAATGAAACTGAATGTCATTCCCTGACATTTTAAATTCTATTTCATTTATGTCTAACTGCTGTGCCACCCTTAAAAGAGCATATTTTAATCTTTAGGTATTTATTAGAGCCATTTTGTCAGTTTTAAGTTGAGCCACCAACTGTCATGAACTCCCTTGTCATGTAATGTAAGTTGTTTTTCTCAAGTGATTCCAGACATTTACAACTTAAAAGTAAGAATGAACTTCTTTAAGGTGAATCCAGGTCTTTCTGGATACGGATAGTGAAGCCCCAGAACTCTTGATTTAATTCCAGCAATTTGTTTATACCAAACAAAACTTATATCAAATTCATCCATTAAAAATAGGTTATAGTAAATGAGATACCTATTTAAAGCAGGGGCAAAGCATTAAAACTCAGACTCTGATTGAGGTCTCATTTTTTTTGCTGTTGTTATTTGCTACTTACTAGTTATGTTATAATTATAATTTCTTAATATGCTTTCATCCTGTCTTCCTTCATTTAGATTGCAGAAATCTTCTATATTGATAATCCAGGCTGTAATTAGATGGCTTAGGGCTATTTTGATTTTGATTTGATACTTGGAAATATCTCCATGTAGTTTTCTAGCACTCTTGGTTTTCCTCATGTTTCTCTGTACACACTAGTTCTTGGTTCTAATCACTGAAATATTCAGAAATATTTTTCTTTTCTTTTTTTTAACTTTTTTTTTTTAATCTTTATTTTTGAGAGAGAGAGAGAGCACGAGCATGGGAAGAACAGAGAGACAGGGAGACACAGAATCCGAAGCAGGCCCCAGGCTCTGAGCTGTCAGCACAGAGCCCAATGTGGGGCTCGAACTCATGAACCGCGAGTCCATGACCTGAACTGAAGTTGGACACTCAACCCGCTGAGCCACCCAGACACCCCTATTTAATTTATTTTTAAAATTTGCATCCAAGTTAGTTAGCATATAGTGCAACAATGATTTCAGGAGTAGATTCCTTTAATGCCCCTTACCTATTTAGCCCATCCCCCTCCCACAACCCCTCCAGTAACCCTCTGTTCTCCATATTTAAGAGTCTCTTATGTTTTTGTCCCCCTCCCTGTTTTTATATTATTCTTGCTTCCCTTCCCTTGTGTTCATCTGTTTTGTATTTTAAAGTTCTCATATGAGTGTAGTCATACAATATTTGTCTTTTTGTGACTAATTTCACTTAGCATAATACTCTCTAGTTCCATCCACATAGTTGCAAATGGCAGGATTTCATTCATTTTGATTGCCGAGTAAAACTCCATTGTATAGCTATACCACATCTTCTTTATTCATTCATCCATCGATGGACATTTGGGCTCTTTCCATATTTTGGCTATTGTTGATAGTGCTGCTCTAGACATTGGGGTGCATGTGCCCCTTCAAAACAGCATCCTTGTATGCTTTGGATAAATACCTAGTTGTGCAATTGCTGGGCCATAGGATAGTTCTATTTTTAATTTTTTGAGGAGCCTCCATACAGTTTTCCAGAGTGGCCACACCAGTTTGCATTCCCACCAGCAGTGCAAGAGAGATCCTCTTTCTCCACATCCTCGCCAATATCTGTTGTTGCCCGAGTCGTTAAGGTTAGCCATTCTGACGGGTGTGAGGTGATGTCTCATTGTGGTTTTGATTTGTATTTCCCTGATGATGAGTGAAATTGAGCATTTTTTCATGTGTCAGTTGGCCATCTGGATGTCTTCTTGGGAGAAGTGTCTATTCATGTCTTTTGCCCATTTCTGCACTAGATGTTTTGTTTTTGGGTGTTGAGTTGGATAAGTTCTTTATACATTTTGGGTACTAACCCTTTATCTGATATGTCATTTGCAGATATCTTCTCCCATACCGTTGGTTGCCTTTTAGTTTTGCTGATTGCTTCCTTCACCGTGCAGAAACTTTTTATTTTGATGAGGTCCCAGTAGTTCATTTTTGCTTTTGTTTCCCCTGCCTCTGGAGACATGCTGAGTAAGAAGTTGCTGTGGCCAAGGTCAAAGAGGATCTCCTTGAGGATTTTGGTGGCTTCCTGTCTGACATTTAGGTCTTTAATCCATTTTGAGTTTATTTTTGTGTATGGTGTAAGAAAGTGGTCCAGGTTCATTTTTCTGCATGTCACTGTCCAGTTTTCCCAGCACCACTTGCTGAAGAGACTGTTTATTCCATTGGATATTCTTTCCTGCTTTGTCAGAGATTAGTTGGCCATACGTTTGTGTGTCCATTTCTGGGTTCTCTATTCTGTTCCATTAATCTGAGTGTCAGTTTTTGTGCCAGTACCATACGGTCTTGATTATTACAGTTTTGTAATACAGCTTGGAAGTCCGTCAGACATATTTTTCTTACTTACGATGCCACTGGGCCAACCCTTGCTCCCCAATGATTTCTTCTACATAACTAGAAGGAGGAATTCCTTTCTGCTAAAGTTTCATAAGTTAGTTTAGCTCATGTATTTTATTTTGAATTAGGGCATTATTAATCTATCCTTTATTTTCTGTTCTTTAGTTTTATCCTCTGTTCTACCCCCTCATTAACTCTGAATTGATTGTTTTTAAATAAACTACTCCCAACAGTTTAGGACATTTTTATGTGTCATTTCAGCCATTTTCCTCCTTGTCTTCCACCCCTACCCTAACACTGTTAAATACCTTTGAATACATATGATCCAGTGGAAAATAATAGGCAAATGTTGAGTAATCATACTTCGGTTGTTTATCTATGCTTGCTAGTAATATACTTTAACTTCTCTAAGAGCTAAACAGAATAAACATTCCCTGTCAGCAGTCATGACAGATGTACTGACATTTACCATAGAACTTAAGGTAATGTGTTATTGTTATTTTTAAAGTGTGTGCTTAAGTTGTTTAATGTAATTCAACATGAGAGTGATTAGGTTCACCAGATGGCTCTTTTTTATAAAAAGATTGTCTCTCATTCCTCTTTCATTAGTCTTCCCAGCCCTTTCTCATGAAACAGGTTTAAATTTAAGAATCTTGTTAATTGATGTTTGAAATTTGCGACGGGGAGCAGAACGTAGGGTATCGATGTTGCTACTTTAACATAAAGCAGTTTGAATCTTCGTATACCTTTTTGGAGTGGCTGCTATGTAATTGGCAACTTAGAAGCATTTAATTTCAATGTCCTACTATTGTTTACATGTTGTATTTTAAGGCAATCCTGTCTAGAAGATGGAGTTCTGAAAGTTAAAAATGTAAGACAGAGAATAAGTGAGAAAGAAGTTACAAAAAGCTAAATTTGCAGGGAAACCTATGATTCAGAAAAGCAAGCCCAGAATGACTTTCCTTCTCCTTTGGGGTTTATTTATTTATTATTATTATTATTATTATTATTATTATTATTTTAATGTTTATTTATTTCTGAGACCGAGAGAGACAGAGCATGAGTGGGGGAGGCACAGAGAGAGAGCGAGACACAGAATCCGAAGTAGGCTCCAGGCTCTGAGCTGTCAGCACAGAGCCTGACGTGGGGCTCGAACTCACAAACCATGAGATCATGACCTGAGCCGAAGTCGGTCGCTCAACTGACTGAGCCACCCAGGCGCCCCTGGGGTTTATGAATTTAGAATGGACATCAATTTCTTCCTGTTTGGGATAAGAAAATGCATGTTTCTGTGTGGTTTGTCACACTGAATTCCAAAGTGGAACTGATCCTTCTGACTCCTTTGCTCCACCCCTCCCTGCTCCAAGAGATTCTAGAAGAGTATCTAAAGAAAAATGGCTTGACCTGGAACTGCAAGAAGGACTTTTTCTCATCTGATATAAAAGAAGCCTACTAAAGGTTCATATCTGTTATTTCTCACCAAATATCCGCTTAGAATGCACCTTCTCAAGGATTCCCAGCGCAGGTCTCTTGCACCATTTGCTAGTCTTCACTCTCTTTCTACCACTAGGCCCAGAATGAATTGTTCCTATTTCCCAGCTCAGTAGTGCTTTTTCTTTCTTGGACTCAGTATCTGACTGCTTCGTATCTATGTGAGGTATAGGCTCAGATATTTTCCTCCCGGTTCTTGCCACAGCAATTTTCTGACTAGTTGCCTTTTTGTTTTGGAACTTTGACTTCCTACCTCTCACCTCAAATCCATTTGTATCCAACCCAGAATTATATTGTTGCTTCTTACTTTTCACTCGCAACTGCTTGACCTAGGTTCTGTCTTCTTTGCTCATTAACATTCTAGTAATAAGAACAACCCCTCTTGTTTCATCTCTTTGCACCCCATCTCCAAGTGGTTGTAGACTAGAGCCGCTTCCATCAAGTGTTTGCCACTTCTCTGGGTGATACTGATTCGTGTGTGTATTCGTGCAGCTATAAGGATATCTGATTTGGCCTATACATCCTAGCCTACAGTTGCCTTACATTATTTGTATAGCACAAGGGCACATCTATGTTGTTCACTTACTACTATGTTTACTTACTGCCAAATCCAAGCAAAACTTCAGGGGAAGGAAGAACTTCACCATAGGTGTTAACTGAAGTAATAAGAAAAATGATTTTTCCGGAAGAGGTGTAACTAACAGAGGCTCAAGACCCGAGTCTTGGGCAACACCATGGTTAAGGGTTCAGCATACTGAGACGAAGGAGGAGCAATTAGGGTACTGAGGGGAGAGGCATGGAAGTTAACCATCCATTATGACCCAAGAAAGTCACAGTTTTCTATCTGGTTTTATTGAGGGATTTTTTTTTGGTAGATACTTTGGGAGTTTGTGGTAAGTTTTCTTTAGTTGACTAAGAATAGTTAAAATTTAATTTCTGCCTGATGATGAAAACAAGCAAAATTAAAAGTTCTTTACTGAAGGTAGTAAAATCAATAATCATTTTTAGTCTTTTAACATAAGAATGACTTTCACAAAGCAAAGTGCTTGGACTGAATTATATGTTATATGGGATTAGTTCTAATTAGATCACCAAATATAATTTCTGTGGCTAAAACTACTTTCAAATTGAAATGGATAGTTGATGTGTTCATAGTAATAAAACCTTACCTCTTTGTCTGGTACTTATCTGTATGCTGCTTCATAAACTTTAATATTTCTGTGTAAGTATGTTTTGTCATACTTTTCATATTTTCATAAAATAAACAGTGTGTCTAATACTTCATATACTATGTACCCAGGTATTCAGAAAACTTCTTGGTATTTGGAAGATATAGTCAATCATTATACATCTTTAAATATGAATAGGGCTATAGTAACACATGAATATATGGATAAAATATATGAATAAAATAAGTATTTTAAGTATCTTGGTATGCTTGTAAAGATTATTAAAGTTTACTTAAGCTTGTTTCTCATGGCTAGTTCTCTGTACTTTTGTCAATGTTGGTAGAAGTAGTTGAGTTCATGAGTCAGTTTTATTAGTTTGATGGATGCAAGTTTGAAATTAATGACCGAACTGAAATATTAAAAGTATCTTTAGGTTTTTGTTCTCCAAGCTTATTCTTTTGACAACTCTTTGATATATATCTGATAAATTAGATTACAATAAGAATGAGATGCAGTATAATATATGTTAATCTGTTAAACAGTTACCTTGAGGTGTTACATTAGTTTGGTTATTTTTGTATATTTTTCATAAATACATATGAAATATATTAACAGTTTGTTCTTTAATTACAGTGGGTTGGCAATTGGAGAAGATAATGGACAGAGAGGTTATTTGCTGACCTATGTCATTGCGTATATTCGAGTAAGTTATCTCATATTTCCTTGTCAGTTTATATTGCAAATAATCCTTTTTCTTACTTTGAATGAATAAAATTATTTTCTTAAGTTTTAACTTAGTATGATGTAGCACATCATTTGACATGAATGTAGGACTAGCTACAAACCTTCAGAATCCCAATTAAATCTTCCATATATTGCTTTTGAGGAATTTGAAGATTATATAGATCATTCTCCTCTTTAAAAGAATGGTGACTTTCTCTGTCTGGAAGTTGAACATGCCATTCCTAACATTGCTTGGTTAGAATCGAGCTGTCTTATTTAGCACCATTTCTCACTTGATTCATAATCAAGTTTTAAATATGTATAATCTTTCTTTAACTCATTAAAAATTGGTATTTAACTTGATTCTAAGTAGTAGTTGGTTCACTGGTGATGATTACTATGTAGAATTAAAGAAATAATTTGTCTGTATTTGGGCTCTAAAATTTTTCTAATTCCACATTTTCTACTTGTGAGAAACTTTATTAGTCCAAGAGTCTACTATACTTGTTGATATGAAAGTATTCTTTCAAAAGTTTATTTACTTATTTTGTTTTTCTACCTTGGCTGTAATAAACTCAAGTTTCTTAGTTGTTTTCTGCTATTGTTAGGGTTATATTTTTTAAATATTGCTTTTTTATGTAATTTGAAAGGTCTTGTTTTAAAACATCATTTCTCAGATATCCTATTGAGAATATGACTTTCCCAAATACTGCATTTTCTAATTTTTCACTTGGAAATTGTTCTGAAGGAAATACTTACATAAACTTATATAAAACTTGTTTTTACTTCTCTAGAAAGCTTGAATTGTATTCTTATTTCAAAACTAATCTTAGGTAAGATCTAAATTTTAGGTTGCAGTGAATTTGAAGCATATGCATTTTTCTGGGCACTCCATTCCCCCACGCTGATAAGGGAAATTACATTTATTGCTTGTTTGCTATGTTAAAAATTGTAATTAAGAGATTTACAGATCATGAAAAGTAATAGATGATTTTAGGTCTTACAATAATGTTTACCTCCATAGACTGTTACTACCTCAGGGTCTCCCATAGTAAGCATTTTGGTTATCCACAAGTTTTTGTTTGTTGAGCATTTTCTAAGTATATTGACCATTTTCCCATATTACTAAATTCAGAATTCTAGAAAATGATGTGTAACTGTAACAAATACAGCTTACACACTGTTAAAACTGAATCAGAAGCAGTATTGAGATGGGAGGGATTGTTTTATTTTTTATTTTCCCAGTGCTTAATACCTTTGTCACCACATATGTGTTTACTGCGTAAATGAATGCACAAGAAAAAAGCGACACATTTTAGATCAGTAATTTGGGGATTTTTCCTGCCAACCAGTGGTAGAGTTGAAGTGAATCATCTTACTAGAAGTGAAAACTTAACATTTATTGATTTTTCTGCTTATAAAATATTCTTTCTATCTTTGCATCTCGGGTGGCTTATGAATTGCTCTTTCCAGTTTTGATATTAAAACAGAATTGTATTCTGGGTATTATAAGTTACTTATCATATAAGCATTATATCTTATGTGTTATAAAATATATTTTCCTAGCAGAAGTGCTTCCAGATATCCTATCTTATTTAGTTACTACAAAGAGAGGCACTATATTTTCTAATTTGTTTTTTAAAGAAAAGTTGATTTCAGGAAAGGGAGATCTACCTTCTTCCTTTAGTCCCCCCTGCTCCTACTTTCCTGCTGCCCTGGTCCTTCCATCCTGATGACCACTTTTTAGTGTTGTTTAATTTACTATTTAGGCTCCAAAAAAAATCTGTTCTGCTAGTATCCTCTACATGTACATAGACAGTTCTCAGAGGCTCCATTCCTTGGAGAAATATTTGAGTTCCTGCCATGTATCAGGCACACTGCCTGGTGCCAGAGATACAAAAGAGAACAAGACAAAGTTCCTGTCCTCCTGGAGGTTGTAGCTCACACTCAAGGCCACTTACCATTGCTTTTATGGGGTGGAGAGTAAAGAACAGTGGAGGTTAAATTAGAAACATGTGATATTAACAATTACGTGAAATACTAACAATATGACAGTATTCTTGATTCTTCTGCATCTGTCATAATTTCTTGATTTTTGTGTCTTTTTTTTAATAGGACTTGGGTTTGGAATACTATATATTAGGAGAGTCTTTTGAGACTTCTGCTCCTTGGGACAGGTAAAATATAATAAAATGTCTCATATTATGCTATAGGAGTTATTGAAATAATATATCTTTGTGCACAAATATACAAATTTTGGGGCGCCTGGGTGGCGCAGTCGGTTAAGCGTCCGACTTCAGCCAGGTCACGATCTCGCGCTCCGTGAGTTCGAGCCCCGCGTCGGGCTCTGGGCTGATGGCTCAGAGCCTGGAGCCTGTTTCCAATTCTGTGTCTCCCTCTCTCTGCCCCTCCCCCGTTCATGCTCTGTCTCTCTCTGTCCCAAAAATAAATAAATGTTGAAAAAAAAAAATTAAAAAAAAAAAAAAAACAAATATACAAATTTTAAAATTTTTATAAAGAAACATTGAAACAAGGTGATCACTTTTATTTATATTAACACCTTCATCAGAATGTCATATTTGCCAGCTTTTTTTTTTTTATTTAGACAGATTTGTCCATGTCCCATAGAAGGAAGGTGTTATTGAAGTCTATATTTTAAAGAATCTTAGTGAGCACTTAAGTGTCAGTCTATAGTTTTACTAGCTTTGATTTAAATTCTTAAATGCTTAATATGCTTGAAGGTTCTCTAGAACATCCCCCAAATATAAACCCAGGGTTAAACTTCTTTTGTAATATATGATTTAGCTTTTGATTTTGGATGGTTACTATTAAGCAAGATCTTAACTTGTATTTAAGTGATTTCTAAAAGAAATCCAACTTAAGATATTATGTATAATTTCTATTTTTATGTTATGCACATACACATATACACAAATGTTGGTATACAAATATTGGTTAGGGAATTAATAATAAAAACCGATGAGGAAATGTGAAGTGGTTTTATTAAAAATGGACTCATAAGGGGCGCCTGGGTGGCTCAGTCGGTAACGCATCCGACTTTAGCTCAGGGCGTGATCTTGCAGTCCCTGAGTTTGAGCCCCGCATTGGGCTCTGTGCTGACAGCTCAGAGACTGGAGCCTGTTTCAGATTTTGTGTCTCCCTCTCTCTGACCCTCCCCCATTCGTGCTCTGTCTCTGTTTCAAAAATAAATAAACGTTAAAAAAATTTTTTTTTTTTAAATGGACTCATAAGTTAACTCAGTAATAAAAGCTGTTAAGATTGTTAGTACATTTTTATTCTGGTATGCTTTACATTTTATGTTTTCTTTATAAAATTTACAAATTAGGGGCGCCTGGGTGGCGCAGTCGGTTAAGCGTCCGACTTCAGCCAGGTCATGATCTCGCGGTCCGTGAGTTCGAGCCCCACGTCAGGCTCTGGGCTGATGGCTCAGAGCCTGGAGCCTGTTGCCGATTCTGTGTCTCCCTCTCTCTCTGCCCCTCCCCTGTTCATGCTCTGTCTCTCTCTGTCCCAAAAATAAATAAACATTGAAAAAAAATTACAAATTAAATCAGTAATAAAGTACATGACAAATTCCCATGAATCTACCTTTTAGATATTACATATCTTAACATTTTTGTTCTACCCTAACTCTTTTTTTCCCTTCCCCAGAGGACTTTTTACTTTCTGCATTCATTCTTTGTCTACTATGGGTTATGACTTTTGGTGCATTGATGTTCATATTCCATGCATTGTAAAACAACAGTTTATAGTATCAATCTGTTATTCACAATTTTTGATAACAAAATTTTAACAAGGGGATAAATCTTGTAAAGAAAAAAAAATTATCAACTTACTGACATCTGACTGTTTTATACAGGTTATATATTTGGTTTCTTTTCAATTAAAACAACTTCATCAGCTAAATTTTTCATAAATAAAATGAATGGAAAGCAGCTACATTCCTGATAGAAACTTTACTTGTTACCCATTTAACAAATTGTTTTTTCTCTCTAACATTTACCTAGGTAGAGACCATGTTTAGCAGAAACCCATGGAGTCAGAGTCTTCAAGTCTCACACGTTATTAGGTTGCTTAGCCTTTTCATGTATAAGTCTCTTAAGGGGTTATTTGCCTTACTAGTTTTTGTGTATTTCTCAGTAGTCCTACCAAAATAACTGTATCTGTTGAGTGCACAATGAATATTCTGAATAGACTCCTATGAATGAACTTGGGAATAATGTAAGAATGTAGCCTATAAAATTAGCTGTCTAAACAGTCTGAGTTGGAGATTTAAAGATTTTGGAGACATTAGCATGAGGCTTGTGATTAAAACCAAGGGAGTAGATACAAACCCTTATAGCTAGTATGGATGAAGAAAAAAAAGAGGACCTAAGAAGGAAGTCCAGGGAACCCCAAAATTTATTTTGTTTGGATATACAAACAAGAGCTAGCAAAAGAGAATAATATCTCGAGGATTTGGAGGAAAACCAGTGATGTGAAAGAAGCCCAGGAAAATTTTTTTCAAGTAGGGAATTGTCAACAGGGTTAAATTTGCCAATAGGTCAGGTGAAAAGTTAAATGTATACACAGTTATGTTTATCTTACATAGAATGATTGGTCCAAGTGGACTGTGTTGGCTTTTGTACAAGTTCTATGCCAGAATACTTCAAGAACTCCCCTCTGGGGGCACCTGGGTGTCTGAAGTCAGTTAAGCATTCAGCTCTTGATTTCGGCTCAAGTCATGATCCCATGACCATGACCAGAGCCCTGCATTGGGCTCTGTGCTGAGCATAGAGACTACTTAAGATTCTCTCTCCTTCTGCCCCTCTCCCCCAGTCTCTCTCTCTCTCTCTCTCTCTCTCTCTCTCTCTCTCTCTCTCTCTGAAGTAAAAAAAAAATTAAGAGAAAAAGAACATCCTCTGTACAAATCATTTCTAGAAAGTATCCTATTAAGGGTTTTAACCATTTGGTCATGTTATTTGTCCCATCTCCTCATTATTATTGTAAATTATCATATATTATTATGTAGCACTTAAATTCCACTTTCTAGAGTCATGATAAAGAACTTATTTATAAATTTATAATATTCATTAATCCCTGTAGCTATTAAAGCTTACTTAGTAGGTTTTATTTGTGTTTGAAGTATTTGTTTTACAAGTTGGATTTTCAAAATAAAGACACAATAAATTCCAATAATCTAAATACTTTAGTAGGAGATATTTTAAAAGCATGCATCCTTACCATTCCATAGGTGAGGCATAAATAACACTGATAAATTGTATTTGTCTACACTCTCATAGAATTAAGCACAATTTAACTGAAGAGAATTGTTTTGTAAAATTAGAATTTATAAAACTTTCAGACACATATATTAAAAAAATAAAATTTGACATGCTAATAAAATAGCTAACAAACCATTAAACCCCTTTCCATATTTATATTTTAACCATATATTCTTTGTTCTTATTGGAAATATGGATAACTTTAATGTGTCTTATAAAGCATAATCCATGTAAATGTTATGGTTTTTATCAAATTGGCTCTCACACAGTCAAATCAGTCTTTAGACTAGAGATGGCCCAGTCTTTTGTGCTTCTTTGTTACCTTTTCCATTCTCCTGATTCTAAACAACTAAGATTTGAAACACAGAATCAGCGTCAGTATGTTGTCAGGATGTTTATTGAAGAATTAGATGGCTTATATGTACCTTAGGAGTTTTATTTTCCAAATGAAACAATATATAGTAATAACAAAATATTACAGCTCACATTAAAAAATAGATTAATCTTTTGTCAGCCAAATCTTTTGTCTCTGCATCTCCGACCTAGAAGCTGTGATTGACATCTGTTTTCCATTTTAGAACTTTTTCCTGAGCATGTTCCCAAAGTATGAATGCATCACTGTTAGCTCTCTTGCACTCCAAAATAGGGCCTTAAAAATTATATCAAAAACTAAACAACAAAAGAAATCAGATGCCTTTATATTTTAAAACAGTGGTATCTTGGAGTCAAAATTAAATGGTGAAATATAAATAAAGTGTTCTAGTTAATAGTGATGTCCTGAAGTCAGTTTCTTAGTTTTGACAAATCTGTCATGGTTATATATTAACATTAGAGGAAACCAGGGAAAGAGGAACACTGTCTGTCTTTGTGACTTTCTGTATCTAAAATTATTTCAAGGGGAGCCTGGGTGGCTCAGTCGGTTGAGCGTCTGACTTTGGCTCAGGTCATGATCTTGCAGTCTGTGAGTTGGAGCCCTACGTCAGGCTCTGTGCTGACAGCTCAGAACCTGGAGCCTGGTTCAGATTCTGTGTCTTCCTCTGTCTTTGCCCCTCCCCCACTCATGCTCTTTCTCAAAAAAATAAATAAACGTTAAAAAATTTAAAAAATAATAAAATTATTTCAAATAAAAATTTATTTAAAAGATAGAAAAAGGGGGCGCCTGGGTGGCGCAGTCGGTTAAGCGTCCGACTTCAGCCAGGTCACGATCTCGCGGTCCGTGAGTTCGAGCCCCGCGTCAGGCTCTGGGCTGATGGCTCAGAGCCTGGAGCCTGTTTCCGATTCTGTGTCTCCCTCTCTCTCTGCCCCTCCCCCATTCATGCTCTGTCTCTCTCTGTCCCAAAAATAAATAAACATTGAAAAAAAAAAAAAAGAAAAAGGATTAATATTATTAAATATTATCAATCCCCCCATTCCCTTTATGAACTATTTCTTATCTGTTTTCACTGACTCTTAATACCAGTCTAGCACAGCTTTATACATTGCTGACATCCAGTTAACATCCAGTAAGTCTTTGTTAAAGTAGATTTTAGCTCAGAGCTTGACAAAAGGCTATTGAACATTTGGTATAACCTCACGATTATTGACTAAATTATTTTTATATTAAGGGAAATATCTTAGACATGGACACAGATTGGTATTCCTGTAAACCCAAAATTGAATTTTCATTAACATGTTCATTATAGCTTTTTAAAAAAGCTTTTAAAATATTGTGATTAAATTAATTGTGAAATTGGGTTTACCTAAGTGTAGGAAACTGCCTTCAGGAAGCTTGAGTGTGCTCTTCTGACTTCTGTCTTTTCTATGGCAAAAAAAGGGAGAACTTTGCCCCTTTGAAGCTATGAATGGAAGACTCAATTTGAATGATCAACGCTCTTGTTCATTCTTGACGGAATAAGTATGAAAGTTTCTTAGAATTTCTGACTTGAAAGATGCCAGATAAACTAACATTTGTTAGAATTTTGTAATTTATTTGAAAACTTAATGTTGTATTCAATTTTGTTTTCTAGGGTTGTGGATCTCTGTAGAAATGTAAAAGAACGAATAACAAGGGAATGCAAAGAGAAGGGTGTTCAGTTTGCTCCTCTTTCTACATGCAGGTGAGGTTTTTTGTTGTTGTTGCTCTTTTACTGCTTATTCTGGGGGGAAAACATATTTTAATTAATGGAGAAATGTAATTCACGCCACCAGAAGAATAGCTTCAGTCTGTTCCATTTAGCAAGCTTTCCTTTCCTAAACTTCACTTTTGCCACCTTCTTAGGGTTGTGCCACTAGGGTTTTAGAGCAGTCCTGAGCCCTTTAGGAGTAGAATACCCTTCCATAAGTGAGCCTTCTACCCCTTCAGGACAGCAGGACAGTGAAAAGCCAAACCTTGGAGCCCCAGGAATAAGTAAAGGAGTGCCTTTTAATTCACTGAAATTATAAATCATGTATATATTCAGGAAACTATAATTTAATACATAATCAACGTAGCCTTTTCTTCAATAGACAAAAAGCACTTTAACCACTTTATTAGTTACTGATTCAATGAATGGGCATGGAGTAAAGGAATGAGTAGAGCAAAATATGCAAATGAAGATTAACTCTTTACTTTCAATAGATCTTTCTGCAGTAATGGAAATACTCTTTATTTGTCCTGTCTGGTATTGGTGCCACAAGCCACATGTGGCTGTGGGGCTGTCGAAATGTGGCTAATGTGACCGTGGCACTGAATTGTAAATTTTATTTAATTTCTAATAATTTAAATTTAAAACACTGCATGTAGCTGGTATCTTCCATAGTGGACAGTTAAACTGCAAATCTTGTCCTCTTTGTTAAATGGCAGCAGTCTAAAAGGAGGTTTTCTTGCGAAGGAGCACTTTGTATTCAATCACCTGATAATTAAAAGACCTGTATAAACACAAGAAGATTAAATGTATCAAGATTAAATCAAACATATGACTTATCTATAAAGTTATAGAATTAATTGGAATGGAGAATAAAGGGAAATCAGGACAGATTATGTGAAGGGGATCTTTAAAGTAGATGGTTCAGTCATAATCTAGCACTTTAAAATTTATTAAACATTCTGTGTTGTATAACTGCTTTTTTTTTTTTTCCCATGTGTCAGGGAAGGGGGTTTCAAGAATATAACTCAATTAATTTGTAGAAACAAAAAATTTTCAGTATAAGCACAAATGCAAATTAAGTAATTTGGGAAATAATATAATATCTTTATTGTTAAGTGCACCAGATGCTGACTCTGAAACAGCAGATATGCCTCACCAAAATGGCATTTCTGTGTATTTCTATTCATGATGCTTGTTCTGATTTGCCTGGGATCACTTAATCTCAGCCTAAGAGGGCAGACTTGGGCCTCTTTCAGCCCAAGAACCAGGCCTTGCTGGCCTACTGTATTACTGTGGCAACTGCCTGCTTAGTTTTTGAATTTCTTTGTTTTGTAATACTATATGTGTCTGAAAAGTGAAAGCACTGTTTTGCTGTTTATTAAGAATTTAATCCCTTTGCGCTCTAAGTTGATTATTAGTAAAGCAGTAGTAATACCATCTACTTGATGAGACTCTTGTGAGAATGAATTGAGAAAGCATATGAAGGGCTGTATGAATGTCATTTTATTATTGTGAGGTCATTACATTAAACTTGAGGTAGACAACCTATACTAGAGCTAGTAAAGGAAATCTCAATATTTTTCTTCTCCAATGACAAATCCTCATGAAGGTATCCAATTCTTAAGTCTTTGATATTTTCATATAGCATGATAATTTGCATGTATTTGCTTTGCAAGACCAGAAATGTTTCTATATTCTTCAAACTGCTGTCTCTTCTGATTTTTTTTTTCTTCTATCTTTTACACCTTCATCTTGTACTTCCCTGGTACCATATTGTGTTTCTTAGTTCTACTTATTGCCCCCATTGGGACAGATACCTTTTAGAATTTGCTAAATTTTGTGCTTCCATTGGAGTAAGAGAGCAAAACTCTAACAAATGTGAGGAAATCATCTTTCGTATACATTAACTGTTCATGTCAACCAGAAGGATCTCTTTGAAATTGTGTTTTTTGGGGCGCCTGGGTGGCGCAGTCGGTTAAGCGTCCGACTTCAGCCAGGTCACGATCTCGCGGTCCGTGAGTTCGAGCCCCGCGTTGGGCTCTGGGCTGATGGCTCAGAGCCTGGAGCCTGTTTCCGATTCTGTGTCTCCCTCTCTCTCTGCCCCTCCCCCGTTCATGCTGTGTCTCTCTCTGTCCCCAAAATAAATAAATGTTAAAAAAAAATTAAAAAAAAAAAAAAAGAAATTGTGTTTTTTGCTTCTGTGTGGGAGAGACAGTCAGGGTTTAAAGAAGTATATTTGAGAATGAATCTGAGAATATGTAAGCTAAAAATGTGGACTTAGAGATTATTGACTGGTCATTTGATATATCTGAAGGATGAGAAAATAGGGGTCTTTTTTTATGCTAAGTGAAATTAGTCAGAGAAAGACAAAAATCATATGACTTCACTCATATGAGGACTTTAAGAGACAAAACAGATGAATATAAGGAAGGGAAACAAAAATAACATAAAAACAGGAAGTGGGACAAAAACATAAGAGACTCATAAATATGGAGAACAAACTGAGGGTTACTGGAGGGGTTGTGGGAGGGGGGATGGGCTAAATGGGTAAGGGGCACTAAGGAATCTACTCTTGAAATCATTGTTGCACTATATGCTAATTTGGATGTAAATTAAAAAAAATAAAAAATAAAGCCACTTAAAAAGAAAAAAAAAGAAAAGAAAATAGGGGTCTTGTTCTGTGCAACGAAAAGCTTATAACTTGGTAAACCTACTAGTGGCTTAGGACTAATCTTGGAGAGAACCTTTCCAAATAAAGGTGTAAGAATGTACATGTTCTTTGTTTTTTTGTTCCTTTCTTTTTTAATTTGGAGATATATTTAAAAATAAACCTTTTATTTTAAAGTCTAAGAAAAAATTTTGTGTTTGTTTATTATGAACCCAAATTGATACTTAATTCTTCTTTTGACAGTCTAGTCTGTCAGGCCTCTTTACTATAGTTCAGAAAACAGATCAGGCCTAATAATCCAAGTCATTTGTTACAAGTAAAATTTGAAACGTTTTAAATAGTAGAATCTATTTTTGTGTAGCTGAGGATTTTTTTATTTTTTATTAAATAGCAATTTAACAGATTTTTATCCCCACTTTCTCTTTCTGCCCTATCTCCCTGTTTATCTCTCCAGACTCCCCCCCTTCCATTATCAGAATATCATTGTGATACACCAGTACTTATTGAACATTATTGGGAAGTAAAATATTCTGCCTCAGGACACCTTCTATAACAACACAAGTCTTGGTTTTTCAGAAGGAGCTCATAAAGTCTAAAATAAGGATCTTCATTATGTATTATAGGTAGATGGACTTAGAGTAAATTTGAGATATGTCTTTTATTCAGTAGCTATTTTTTAAGAATGATTTTCTGATAAAAACTTATATACTCAGCTTTTATGATCATTTTATAAAACCAAAATTTTGAATGTACACGGTCTAGTTATTTGAATGGTTTTAATAAATGGGAGCTTTAAATATAGTTCTTACATCTCATACTTGATAAAAACTAACATTTCACCAGAGTTTGATTTTAGTTTAGTTTGATTTGAGCTGCTTAATAGTGTGGCCAAGGAGGTTATTGTGTGTTGAGTATAAATGTTGAATATGTGAAATCCATTTTGTAAACTAGTTTTTAAAATTTTTTTTTTTTTAACGTTTATTTATTTTTGAGACAGAGAGAGACAGAGCATGAACGGGGGAGGGGCAGAGAGAGAGGGAGACACAGAATCGGAAGCAGGCTCCAGGCTCTGAGCCATCAGCCCAGAGCCTGACGCGGGGCTCGAACTCACGGGCTGTGAGATCGTGACCTGAGCCGAAGTCGGACGCTTAGCCAACTGAGCCACCCAGGCGCCCCTGTAAACTAGTTTTTAAAAAGTTATTCCAAAACTGACTTGAAATAATTCTAACTCTCATTGAAATTGAAGATCCCAAGGAAAATAACTAGCTGTAGGGTGCATTTATTGAGTTCATTTATTTCATTTTCATTTATTAAAATGTATTTTGTATATTGGAAGATAAATTCTAACCCAAATTTTCCGAAGAAGTTTTATGGGAAGGAATTCCTAGCTAGTGTGTCTAACATAAGTAAAGTACTCCAACAACCTGTTAGAAATTAAAGAATAATACTATGACTTTCGTAGCCATGCTATCACTTGTCCAGATGATTTTTGGAAGAGGTTGGTGTTAAGGGTCTTAAATGATAAAACTGATCTATTAAAAGGTGTTGGATTTGAGTCACTTTCTGAAGTACACCCAAATTGAGGTTTTCCCAAAAATGTTTTTGTATTATTTTTACTTTATCTTTTCTTGAGATACTGATCACTGAAGCTTTGTTGTAACTTTTAAAAGCCTGCTTATCGGGGCGCCTGGGTGGCTCAGTTAAGCGGCCAACTTCGGCTCAGGTCATGATCTTGCAGTCCGTGAGTTTGAGTCCCGCGTCCGGCTGTGTGCTGACAGCTCAGAGCCTGGAGCCTGTTTCCGATTCTGTGTCTCCCTCTCTCTGACCCTCCCCTGTTCATGCTTTGTCTCTCCCTATCTCAAAAATAAATAAAACATTAAAAAAATAAAAAAAAAAAATAAAAGCCTGCTTATCTATTGAAAACTGAACTCTTTGGTATACATCCTGGATTTGTTGGAAGGTAGCAATGCTTTCTTAATATTGACTGCATTTTCTGTTTATTGATATTGATTCAAATATAAGTGATCTGTATTTTACTACTTGCTATAAATTTGTTTCATTCAGGTATCCTTTCAATTTATTTATATTTGGTTATTCCTAAATGATAGTGCCCGCATAGTTAGGATGGTTCTCCAGTTTTTCTTAAACTTTGTAAATCTGGTACTTAAAATGTAAACATTCAAGGGATCTTTTTTATGAGCGTGAATTAACGCTAGAAGAAAAACACAGCTGGCAAATTGACAGTAGCATTGTTAAACAGTTCATTTCTTCTGTTCTGAGGCACCTAACATTTGGCCTAAAAGGCCATTAAAATTTTAGATTAGATTCTATTTGTATTGTTGTAGTAAAAAGAGTATTTCCTCTGTATTCTCTCCTTCTGTTAAATTAAATTCTTCGTAGGAACCTCTGTAAATTGCATTCACAGATTTGACTATGATTATTTTGGCACTCTTCTACATTTTTTCTCGAATGTTTATTTATTTATTTTGACAGAGAGAGCATGTGCACAAGCTGGGGAGGGACAGAGAAAGGGGGAGAGAGAATCCCAAACAGGCTCTGTGCTGACAGTGCAGAGCCCTACATGGGGCTTGATCTCATGAACTGTGAGATCATGACCTCGGCCAATATCAAAAGTCAGACACTTAACCGACTGAGCCACCCAGATGCCCCTGAGGCTCTCTTAAATGCTTCACCTAATTGCATTTGGAAAGCCCAAGTATATATCATATATATGATTTAATAATCTAATGTTCTTGATGTCTTTTGTAAACACACATACAACATGCACACGTATGGGGTCCAGAGTGTAAAACCTTCAGAGACAGTACTTTAAAGCCAAATTCTGCATTTAATATGATCATTAAATTTGTTTCCAAAGTCCTTAGTAATTATTAGTGTGAAGTTGGAGAAGATGCTTTATTTATTTTACCCAGCCTGATCATTTTTGATATTTGAACATTTCTCTTGTTTCTGAGTTTGAAGTTCTCATGCCTATTTCTGTTGACTCAACGAAGTTTAGAAGACTTATAATGTCCCATCTAGTTTGTTTGGGGCTTCTTTAACTTTGCTATCTATTTCATTAAAAAAAAAAAAAATCCTCTGAGGAGGTTGGTTGTTTCAGGCCAATTAGAGAAACATTTACATTGTTTTTAAAACTTTAAACTCTTTGGGTAATAATCCAGACTTACCTCAAAAAAGTTGTTAAAAACAGTACAAATAGTTCCTGTATTTCTTTCAGCCAGCCAATCTACATTCCTTCCATGGAATTAAGAAGGTGGGTAGAGGGGCGCCTGGGTGGCGCAGTCGGTTAAGCGTCCGACTTCAGCCAGCTCACGATCTCGCGGTCTGTGAGTTCGAGCCCCGCGTCGGGCTCTGGGCTGATGGCTCAGAGCCTGGAGCCTGCTTCTGATTCTGTGTCTCCCTCTCTCTCTGCCCCTCCCCTGTTCATGCTCTGTCTCTCTCTGTCCCAAAAATAAAAATAAAATAAACGTTGAAAAAAAAAAAAGAAGGTGGGTAGAGAATGAGATTATGGTTTAAGCAAATCAGATGATTTTGCCTTTAAAGTTCTAGATGTTAAATCTGATTTCACTTAATTTAAAGCCTTCTGGGGATTGTCTGTTTGTTTTTTAGGGTGACGCAGACTTATGATGCAGGTGCATGTATCTATTTCTACTTTGCCTTTAACTACAGGGGAATAAGTGACCCACTGACTGTGTTTGAACAAACCGAGGTAATTTTGCATACATAAATATATTCTTACATTCTTTTATTAATTTAAATAAACTTTCCTATCAATTTATGAATTTTAGTTCAACTCTGTTTAATCACTCCATGACTTACCTGGTTGATAGTCAATAGAAATTAGAAACATATTTGTTGCATTGAGTCGTATATTGACTTGTGAGTCTAAAATTAATATTATCTATAGATATTAGATTTAATATTCTAAAATTAATATTCTGTAACCTGTGATTCTTTGGTTGTTACTTACAATTTATAAGACCATATTAAATAACAAAGGACTATAGGAATTCTTGATATCACTTTGGCAGTTCACCCATTTCCAGATGCTCGCTGCAGTTGAGGTCAGCAGCCCTAATGTTCTTGGTCTGTGTTGCTGTAATATCCTCATTCTGGGTTTATAATTGTTTGATTGTTATAGCTATACATAGACTATAGAGGTTCATTTGCTACTAGTTTCGTTACATTCCTTAACTGGCCTTAAGATTCCAGTTTTTATAAAGCCTTCTGTTTGCTGGTATTTCTTGTAAGTATGCCTAAAGTTGAAGAGACAGACTGGACTGGAGGAACTGGGAGGAGACTGAGGTTTGTTAAAACCTCAGGTGTCCTAGTGTTTAAACTAGTGTTTAAAACCTAGTGTCTTAATGTTATTGCATGCCTGCCAAAGGCAGCACCATGTGGTGATTTCAGTGGCACACTTTTAGACTCAAAGCACAGACAGGGTTTGGTTGGCTCCCTCCTATGCCTCATCACCACCACCCCCCTTTTTTTTTACAGCTTTTTTGAGGTATATTTGCAATACAAGTAACTGCACATATTTAAAGTGTACAATTTAATGAGTTTTGCATATGTATACACCCAAGTCAAATATCACTCCAATTGAAATAATGAACATATCTGTCACCCTCAAAAGTTGGAGTACTTACTTCCCCATCAGCTTAGCCTTTCAGTGTTTTGGTTGACCTCTGGCTACTCAAAGGGCTGTATTCAAAGGCCCTGTACTACTATAAGAGTGAGATTATTCCTTTTTCCCCAATCCAAACTGCCATTCTCTAGGTACTACTAATTTCAAGTAATTGTTGCTTTGTTTAAAATCATTTGTTTAATTCAGTAATTTATTAAATTTAAAATAATGTTATTTAAAATAATTTGTTAGAAGGTACAACGCTGGCATATATTTGATTCACTTGAAAAACCCTAAATCCTAAGTGATGAATGTTCATATAAGTTACTTTGCTGTGAGATGTGGTCCATCTGTCCTGCCTGAGCCCTGTTACCCTGGTCTAACTCCTGTATACACACCTGAGTAATTGAGAGGTTCTAGGCACTCTAGATACTTCACCTCATGGCTGATATATACTCATGAACTGAATGTAATTCTACTTCTGTTCCCCTTTTTTTTCCACTCTGCACTTTAGTCATTCTCTGTTTTGCTGTAAGTGTTTATTTTTCTAACCTTAGTTGCTCTATAAGGAGCTTAGGACCTAACATGTTAGGAGGAGAAAATAAGGTTTGTTTGTTTTTTTACACTTCGATATCCATCGGTCTGACAAGTAACTTGTTCCAAGACATTGACCTAAGAAATGGTCTCCATAAGGGTTTTTATGGTTGATCTCTGATAGCTTTGCAAGGAATTTTGGGTCCAATACCCACTTTATGATATTTAGGGAGTAATTTAAACATCTAAGCCTCATTTTCTTTGTGTAATAAGGATAATTGCAATTATTACACAAAGCTATAGTATAAAATAAATAAGTTACTACAGGTAAATTGCTTAGTACTTTTCTGCATATAAAATAAGCAGTCAGTACATGTTAGTTACTAACATTTGTTGGTGTAGAGAGGTGTTTACTTCAGAGTAAGACTTGACTATCTTCACAAAACTTACTATTAACGATTCTGTGCTGCAGAATAGAATAAAATTGATCATTTTATCTTCTTTTTCTTTTCTAGAATCTTGAAGTGACTGTTGTAGACATTGTGACCATTCACTAGAAAAAATGTATAAAACTAGGCTGCATATTTTAATTGCGTTTTAAATGTACTTAACCAAAGGAAGATAAAGGAAAATTAGAAATCCAGTTTGTAATTTAACCTAGGAAGGACATGCCTCCTTGGGGGGCTTGGTCTTAACTTTCACTTCAGAGTGAAACCTAAGTAGCAACTATTTGTTGTGTTGTTTCCAAATACAGGCAGCTGCTAGAGAAGAAATCCTTGCTAATGGAGGGAGCCTCTCACATCACCACGGAGGTATTCTTTTTGGGGGTAGAATTTCTACTGTACCTACTATTAAAAAATATTGGTTTGATAAAATGTTGGGGAGAGCCATAGTACATAATTTGAAGGCACTTGATATTTCTTGAGAGTTTTTATGTCTGTTACTGAGGTAGCCTAAGTTGTGGTAGTAACCAACAGAAGAAATACTAAACATTACCATTTTTATTTTCAAGTATAAAACCTCTGTTTCTTTAATTTAGAAACGAAGTTAATTATTTGCCCTGCTTTAGATGTTAAAACAGAAATGAGTCAACATTTTAATTTTTGCATCATAGACCTTTCCTTTTTTTCTGTCTTGCATGTAAATCAGTTTGACTTTCTGCTGGTTTTTATACTCCCTGGTTGTAAGTTTCTAACATGTTGGCAGTATCAGGTAATAAAACAAATATAGGTCAGATCATGTTATGATAAGACTTCTAAAACTTATGTGCATTTTCAGGTTCTAGGCCTATTGGTCTTTATTTGTTGAAGACTCCAAGTTTGATGAAATGATATATTTTTAGAAATTATTGGCTTGAACTTGAATGTATCTAGGTTTGATTGCATATTAATTTATTAAGAAATTCTGCCTCATTTAAATAGAAATCTTTTACTTCTGTTGTATTTCTCATATTTTTATTTTCTATGTGGTCAGAAATATAACTGCATAGAAACGAACTCTAAACTACCTGGTTTCCTCCATTGCCTAGAAAAAGAAACTAGGTAAGCCTAAATACAAAATATATTTCATGTGTGCTGGTAAAATGAAGATGCTTTCCCTTTGCCAGCTTGTCTTCTTCTAAACTGGTAAATATTGGTGGGCTCCGGGGCTTGGCGCTGAGCCAGTCTGTTCTTCTGTGTTCACTCCCTCAGTGATTACCTCATTCCCAGGATTTAAAACACCAAGTATATCCTGATGACTTTCAAATACCAGAAAGCATCACCACCACGACATTCTAGGTCAAATCACTATTTCTTCCTGCTGAGTCTTCTGCAATAGCATCTTAACTGCTCTGTCTGCTTTCGTTCTTGCTCCCCTCAGGCCATTTCTGTTACTGCTAGAGTAATCTTTTTTATAAAACTCAGTGTTTTCTCCTCACAAGGCAGAATAAAATCCAAACTCCTTATCAGGACCTTCAAGGATATACATGTGTCTATCCGTCTGTATCTCTTACTACTTTTTTACTCTAGCGGCATTGGCCGCCTTGCTATTCCTCAGACATACCAACCACCTTTCCTCTGTAAGGCCTTTGGTGTTTGTTCCCTCTTTTTCTGATGTTCGTTCTCTTGTCCCCCCACCCCGCCCCCCCAGATATTTGTATGGCTCACTTTTGCCATGATTTAGTTCCCTGATAAAAATGTCACCTTCTTTGAGATGTCTTCCCTGTTCTCTTGTTTAGTTTCTGTGTTTCTCATTTGAATAAGTTCGATGAGGTTACTGACTTTATCTTATTTGTCACTGTGTTTCCCAGTCCCTAGAACAGTGACTGTCTCTTTCTGTATAGGAAATGCTCAATGAATATGTTAAGTGAGTGGGTAAGGGCCCAGGTGTTCACAGAATTTGGGGCAGTTTTGCAAATTCTTAAGCAGCTCTGAGTCTTTCATATTGGAATGGCTGTAGTCTCATTACTAATTTAGCTTCAAACATTTAATAATCAGGCCTTGTTTGAATATAGGGTCATGTTTAATCGTGGAAAGGCTCAGTTTGTCCCATAATATTTCTGAGAAAGTATATTAGAGCCAGTTATTCAGTAGAAAAGTAGGGTAAAATAATGTGCATTTCTCTACAACTGCACAACAGCAGCCATTTTAGTGTTCTTCCATAGATGCATTATGTATGTAAGATCCCGTTCAGACTTTGTCTTAAAGCAAATAAAAGGTCAAGAGGCTTATACACAAAGGGGAAAGAACATAGGCTGTGGAATCATATCTGTATTTGACTCCTGTGTCTTCACTTAACTAGCTCTGTGACCTTAAGGAAATAACTTCTCTGAGCTGGTGTTCTCTTCTGCAAAATAGGAATAATAGTACCTACCTTGTATATTATTATAAGAATTAAATGTAATAGTGTACGTAGAGCATCTAAAGTGCCTTGCATGTTGTAGGTACTCAAACAAAACAAAACAAAACAAAACAAAACAAAACAAAAAACACAGTAGCTTAAAAAAAATAACAATAGACAACTCCAGGTAGAAACTCTGGCTTGTATTCTTAACCATTGAAGAAAAGGTTACTGTTTATATGAAAAAGATTCATACATTCAAGGGATATGATACAATTGTCTTAACATGTTTTCAACTGTAACCTGCAGTTGGTCTCGTTCTATAGGAAGTTCTATTATATATATGAAAGAGAAATAAATTTCCTTCACACTCTTGGCTACAAAATATACTATAGAAAAATGTCTATTTTCATAAATGCCTCTCTGCTTAAAGTTAATCATCTAATTTGTAAATGTCAAATACCCTGTGCTATTCAGTATAGTTTCATAAAGCAGAAACCTTTCTATATAAATTTGAAATAGAATGGGTTTAATTGTCCTGCTAAACTTAACTAATGATAGAGCTTTTGAGAGATCACTTCTTTTTATGTGAAGAAAAGATTTTCCTTGATTTGCATCCGGAACTGAAAACTCAAGTTGACCTCTTAGTGTCATCTTTATTTACTGACCTTCAGGCAGTGTCATGACATTCTCAGTACCATTTTTGAGTTTGAGAGTAGAAGGGCTGGGGGTTGGGAGAATATTGATGCAATTTCTCTTAGAGGGTTTGGCCTGTAATTGTGATTAATAACAGTTGCTTTCACTATCTGGAAACAGACAGGCTGGTTTGTCTGCCTACAATCATGCTGTGATAAATGGAGCTATTTTAACTCTGGTTTTGTGTATCAAAGAAAACAGATGTAGTCTGGAACTGGAGGCTATAGGAAATATAAAGCCTGTTTAACTTAATCTTCGTAGTGCTTGTTTATGTAACTGACGAGCTGGTCAGTTTAAAGAGCAGAGTTTATATCAGCCACGTATTTAATTTCAATTTATGACTTTTTAAAGTTGTTCATTGGCTAAATTTATACCTAAGTCCTTGTCAGAAAGTAAAATTCTTTGATTGGATATAACCAGCCCTAGTTTAAATATTGGTGTCTTTGCCTAACCAAAATTATTTTTTATTGTTCCGAGAATAATTATAGGCTACCTCTCCAAACTTTTTTTGTAATATTAACAGAAATCCAGTAGTATCAGAAACTTCAAAAGTAAAAAGAGACTTCTCAAAAGAATGAGGAAAATTTTGGCTTTGAAGCCATTTGTTAAAACCTGTAGTGTGAAATAAAAGATATATATTGGAAAAGAAGAAATAAAATTGTTGCTACTTATAGATGACATGATTGTCTATGTAGAAATCCCAAAGAATCTACAAAAACAAAATTAGCAAGATTGCAGAGTTTAAGAGCACACACAAAAATCAGTCACATTTCTATTATTAAGAACAAACCTATAGAAACTGAAATTTAAAATACAATACCATTTCCAGTTGCTCCAAAGAAAATGAAATGAGCATATATCTAGCAAAGTGTGCACATACTTAGGCATAAATATAACAAAATATATACAGGATCTGTGCTCTGAAAATTATAGAATGCTGATGAAAAAAGTCAAAAAAGAGACCTGAATAAATGAAGAGATGGTACTGTGTTCATGGACTGATAAAAAACTAGACATAGTGAAGATGGTCATTTCTCTCCAGATTGATTTATTGATTTAATACAATTCCTATTAAAATGTCAGCAATAATGTTAGGCATAGAAAAGATGATTCTAAAATTTATATGGTGAGGCAAAGGAACTTGATAGCCAAAATAATTATGAAAAAAAAAAAAAGGCTAAAGTCATAGGAATGTATCTACCTGATTTTAAGACATTATATAGCTCCAATAATCATTACTGTGCTATTGGAAGAGAGAGACATCAGTCAATGGAACAGCATAGAAAACCCCCACAAAGAAGTCCAACTGATTTTGACAACAATACAGAAGCAATACAATGGAGGAAGTGTGTGTGTGTGTGTGTGTGTGTGTGTGTGTGTGTGTGTGTGTGTGT